AGCAGAGAGAGTGTCAGGGAGAGGAGCTTGTTATCCCCTTTTCCCAGTGGCTGAAAGTATGTATGGGAGAGTAGCTTGTTACCCCCCTCTCCCCAGCGGCAGCTTACCCCACCAAGGGGAAAACGTAAGCTCCACAACAGTGCAGATGGGACCGTGGTCTCTGCACATTCACCACCGGGGGTAGGGACAGTCGGTCCTGTCCCCCAGCAGCAGGGCTGTTTAGCCATAGGGGAGACAGTCGGTCTCCCCCTCCAGCAGCAGGACTATGTAACCAAAGGGGAGACAGTTGGTCTCCCCATCCAGCAGCAGCCCCAGATCCCGAGAGAGGAGCCTACCAACTCTTTTCAGCATGGCTCCAACCAGGCTACTACCGTGGTAGCGCTGGTACCAGGGCACAGTACCGCGGGTCTCTGCCCACTCAGCAACCCACCAAGGCAGCCTATCCGTACCCCACACACCCGTGGTGAGGCACCTGGACATGGACGAGCTAATCTTTTACCCAGGTGTAGTAACCATGTATTGTGGGTGGGCTGTATTACTGTTTGTGCTGCATGGGTGGGTTGCTGGACTAACCACCGGCAGGAGGTCAGATACCCTGTTAGTCTGTTTGGAAAGGGGGAGAAATGTGGCGTCCTGTCTCTTATTGGGGGAATCTGCTACAAGGGATTGCTATGCTCTGCATATTCCCTTGCTATAATAACTGAGCTCTTGTAAGAGCTTGTTCCTGTTCTGCTCTCTGAAGGAGTCTACGGTGGTTATGGTGTCGGCTGGAGTGCTTGGAGCCCTCAGGAAGCACTAGGAGCCTCCTTCAACGGAGGTGCCCGTCGATCCGTTACAAAGAGGTTACGCTTTTTTCAGTCAACTCAAAATAAGAGCCGTGTGTGTGTGTTTGTCTGTCCTTGGCTGCTAGAAGATTCAACTTGTAATAATAGCACTTACAGTTAACCATTTCACATACGGAGTTAGGGCAAATAGTGTCCAGGTGCTCTCCTGTTCCAGAACAGTTCGATGTCTTACTTCACAGGTAACACCATTATCTTCATGTCAACTTAAACTCTTAGTTGGTGGTGGGTGTCTACAGAACCCTGTCTCACTCTTAGCCCATTGAAATACACAAGTAGATTGGAGGAAGCTCACTGCCCTCTCTTCAAATAAACTTTATTGCTGTATAGAAGGAATAGTTCCACCTACTGAGTTAATATTACGAGCTTCTATTAGCTCTCCGTTGCAAAGCCGTAAAATGGTTTGACTTGTATGGGGGGTGCACAAAAACTACTATACTCCATTTTAGTAGTTATGTTGATTGGAATGTTCCTTTTAATAATTACTAGGGATGTACAATTTAAAACCTTAGTTGGTGGGTGTCTACAGCATCTCGTCTCACTCTTGGCCCATTATAATACAACACAAATAAATTGGAGTAAGCTCACTGCCCTCTCCCCAAATAAACGTTATTGCTGTATAGAAGAAATATTTTTCGTCTACTGCATTATCATATTACGAGCAAAGGCGCATATCAGAGGTGGGAGTATGGGCAAAGGATAGATGCAGGTCATCGGCAGAGCATAGGGGCCTAGATGGGACACACTTGTGTATTAGGAAGGATAGATAGGTATGGGCAGCATTGTGTAGAGATTTGTAAGCAAGCACCAGGATCTTAAATTGAGCCCTGTATCTTACGGGAATCCAGTGTAGGGACTGACTGGGGGGAGGTGCCGGTGGACAGGAAAATAAGTCTCGCCGCTGCACTCATTATAGACTATAGTTGGGCAAGTTCAAAGCACGTAAGACCACTGAGAAGTGGACTGTAGTAGTCAAGGCGAGAGAGGACAACTGCATGGACCAGCACCTTAGCCGTGTCCAGAGTTAAAGAGGGGCGGGCGCCTGCTATGTTTTTGAGATGGAAGTGTCAGGATTTGGCGATCGAACATGAGGGGTGAAGGCGAGGTCGGATTTAAAATAACACATAGGAAACAAGACTACGAAGTTGAGCTGATGTTGGTGCCATTGACTTGGAGACAGACAGACACAAGAGTAGCAACACTTGAGGGAGGAAAGACCACAAGTTCTGTTTTGGACAGGTTGAGCAGCCATCCAGTTGGAAATCAGGAGAGGCAGTCAGAGACATAAGTCAAGAGAGGCGGAGAGAGATCAGTAAAGGACAGACAGATTTGTATCATTTACATGGTAATGGAAGCCAAAGGAGCTGATGAGTTTACCAAGGGAGGCAGTATGGATCAAGAACAGTAGGAGACCGAGGACTGAACCTTGGGCGACACCAACCGAAAGGGGTTGGTGAGAAGAGGCAGAGAAAGAAACACTGAAAGAGTACTGGGAGAGGTAGGAGAGCACCAGGAGCGAGCGGTGTGTGTGTGTATATATGTGAGTATTGCCAGGAATTAAAAGTGAATTTCAAATGTAAGGCCCAAATAGTCAAACTGACCATTAAATAGATTTGGAGACTTTTTCTAAATTGTATTTTTGGCCTCTCTGGAGCTGTATAAACTGTATATAGGCCTACTGAAGCACTAACCTGCGGTGGTATTAAAATCTTACCCACGTTAGCAGGGTTCCTTGCAAATGGTGTTACACATTCACCGGGAGTCTTAAATCAGTCTGGAAAATTTTGAACATTAACAGTTTCATTTTGGAGTATTTTGCATAAATGGTGCAGTGTAAGATATAACGAAAGCGGTACTTTAAGACAGACAGCGGGAAAGATTGGGACCCTGCAAAGTGGGGGTGTTTATTGGATTCTTAAACTGGAAACTGAAACTGTTATGTGTAAACAGATGTGATTGAACACTAGCTGATTTGGAGGTGTGTGTTTTGTTTTTTCCAGTTGATCATTTTTGCCAACTGCGCCCAATTCCTGACTCAGTGAATTATACCGTTTGTAGCTGTAGTAACTTTCTGCAGCCTACTGCGGCGAGATAACTGCAGCTCTGGTATGGAAAATGAATTGTCTCGTTGTCAGAAGCACAATTTATTAACACAGCCCTTGTTATCAACACAAAGCAGCGTTTCCTCCATGCTGGGCGTTGGCTGCATTAAAGCAGTGAGAACTCAGGATTTACTTTGGAGTAAAGGAAACCTCTTTCAAGGGTTCCGTAACGTTCTGATTCTTTGTGAATTACCAAATCCAGAAACCTCTCATAGACCTCTGTAATGAATTAACTTTCCTCCCATATCCTTCGTTACCCAGGGGCCAACATTAAACATGGCACCACATTTACCAATAACACCACAAGCCATATATTTTGCTGCAGGTGGAAGAGGCTATTGCTGTATTCATGTCAATTACAGAAAACATTTTTTTTTTTTTCAGTGACAGCCCTGTAAAGGTCCATTACTATGTGACAAAGTGAATGGTCTGTTAAAAAAAAGAGAACTCCACGCACCATAACCACATCTTCTTTTTTTAATTTGCACAAACACTACTAGTCCCCAGTTTTGCATGTAACAAATGTAAAATAAAGTTACCATAATTATAGCCTAGCATTGTAAAGATTAGTCAAACACTTTATTTTACAAATCTGATTTAGTTTTCATAGTTACAACATTTGATTATTAATGAGACCCTATAAGTCACCAATACAACTTTATCTTAATCAAGTGGTTTTGGTGTATAGAACATGCCCCTGCAGTCTCACTGATCAACTCTCGGGCGTTTAGGAGTTAAATCCCTTTGTTTTTGCAGCTCTTGTCACACCTTCCAGCATAAACAGAAACAAAGTGATTTAACTCCTAAATGGCAGTGAAATTGAAGGGGAATGATCTATTCACAAAAACTGCTTTATTTAGCTAAAGTTGGTTTGGTGACTATAGTGTTCCTTTAATGATTAACATGTATGAATAATCCGTAAAAAAAATTACAGATTTGTCTAAAACGTCTTATTCTGACTGCACCACCATTTATTCAATATCGTATTATTAGTATGGCCATTACAACATGTATGATTATCGTTTATTTGTGCAACTATGCATATGTGCATTCATTGTTTGTGTATTTGTGTGTCTGTCTTTGGTCAATGTTTGTTTATTAGGATGTGTGTGGTTTTAGCTTTTAGTGTTAGTACTGTGAGTGGGAGGTGCACACAGATGATCTGTCATTAAAGAAGCCATGTCAGAGCAGCCCCTCCTGCCCCACACCACTGAAAAATAGTATTTTTATGATGTAATTATTATGAAATATTGATTTTTGACAACCCAGCCAAGAGAGATACTGAGACAAAGAAGGGACTATTTTGTCTCTGTATATTTTCCTCTACCTAACGCCATCTAGAAGTGTCAAACCCCCTGCTGTGAGATGATGTAGGCTCCTGAGGGCCCATTGGAGAAAGATGGTGGCACCCACCGGGGACAGTTTCAGGCAATAGAACTCTCCTTTACCTGCCCCCCAGTTGCACTGTCTGGGATCTTTGTGAATTCTGCCCAGATGGGAACATCACACAGTGACCAAGCAATGAGTTGACGGAAAAAGCTTTTGTAATGGATCAAAATTTTACCTTTTATTTAATACATTTTCTAAAGCATACAAAAGACAAAGACCTTGTCAAAACCTCTTCCAACGTGATCTGAGTAGAGGCAGATGATGCTCTGTGTGTTATGGAGTGCAGACTGTTGTGTTTTGTTCACCATTTTTGCACAATACTAAATAATCTTCATCCCCAGAACCAGTTATCCTGCAGACGGGAAATTGTCATGTTTTGACATATTTTCTAGTTTGTTGAACATAAGTGCATATTAAAATGGGGGTGCAGTCGTGTGAGGCAGATCCGGTGTGGGGCAGACCTGCGGCCTACCAGCAGTCTACTGGCAAGTGGTGTGGGTGACGCGGATGATCCCTCCGCCTGCTGCCTTTGCTCCTGTCCCTCCATGGGTCTTCTCCTGCTCTCCACCCCCTCTCGCCAGTGGGGGTTATGACGGCACATAACTCCAGTGCTGAGTCAGGAACTAGCATCTACAGACAAGGCCTCCAGACATGAGCTGTCCTCCATCTAGACAGGCTGTTTGAAGAATTCTGGTCCAGGCTCAGAGACCGCATTGAAGCAACAAGAGGTGACCCACCAATACTTGCCTTGCCTCCTTCCTGCCTGCCGAGCTCTCTCCACAGTCAGAGGTTTTTCCCAGCGGACCAAGTGTGCAGAGCAGACCGAGGCTGAACGCAGCTGAGAGGTTGAGACAGGTTTGGCTGCGGCGAAGTCAGCATTTACTCCAACGCCAATCATACAGCAGAGGGTACAGCCCTCCTACATACCGAGCAACAAGCACACGTGTGCAGCAGACACTGGTGCAGCAGCCTGCTGGACGTCTCTTGCTACAAGCCCTGTCTGGTCCCCCTCAGTTGCACACTGGATAGTCATCATGACCCTATGGAGCTATTTTTTTTTTACCCTCTCTGGACACAGGTGGCACCATCACCCTGGTCTTTGATTTATGCCTGGTGGGCATAGGCTAAAAGGACATGTTTCGCTGTGTACATGGAGTTCTGTCTCTGCATTCTTCATTCCTCGCATGGAACATCCAGTCACAGTCTAAGATGGATATAGTTTAACCCCTTTAGGACACATGACATGTCATGATTCCCTTTTATTGCAGAAGTTTGGTCCTTAAGGGGTTAAGCATGTGTTTAAATTTTATGTTTGTTCTACCCTATACGCTGATCTTTAGCATGATACTTGTTCATTGTTAAGCCATTATGGCAGCGACTTTTTTTATAATGATTTTCTAACAAAAAAATGGTGCTTGATTTCAGACATGTATCGCGACATCTTGTTTAACCACCTATTTGCAATGTCTTTATTTCCTTGTGTTTGCCATGCACTACAAAAATAAAAAATTAAGAATTTTATTTTTAATATATCCATGAAAGTTACATCCATAATCTACTGCCGGTCACAACTTTTTATCTTAATATTAAAGACTCTCTCTCATATTGGTGACCAAATGAGAATTGTCACATGTGTACTTTTTCAAATCTTCTGCCAATCCCAAAATCATGACGGCTGACATGAAGCAATGGCGTTTAATAGTTTGGTTCCATAGATCTGAATTCATATCCTCATTAAATTATACTCTAAAATATCAGACTTCTGACCATTTCACAGCGTAGGTTCCAAGCCTGTTTCTATCTATCGTTTTTGTCTAGTGACGAAGTGGGCAGGGGCAGCTGAATGTTGGGTCAAGCAGCTATAAGACAGGTACACTGAGATGAGAATACACGGATAATAGTTAAGACTTAAACTCCTAGACTACCAGCTAGTGTTGCTTGACTTCTAGAGCCTTTAAAGCACTGAGACCTATAGGCTGCTCTTCACTGATCCAACCAATATCCATAAAATTACGTGCTATTGCATTCTAAGTGTCGCATTTCGCGGTCCTCAGGTCATTATAACAGAGTCTGACTGCTGCAAGTAAGGGAATAGAACAGATACCCAAGTACATGTACAATCTGTCACATCATGCTATGTTCTTTGGATATGTCTGGCTTTGGCTTCTGGTATCCAGTACTCTTTTTACAATTCTTGTTTTAGTTTTTCTGGTTTTCTATTCCATGTCTGATTTTCTTTATGCTGGGTTTCTGGGTTCATTCTTATATTCCGTCCCTGGATTTCCCAGTCACTTGGATTCATTTAAATGTTTGTTTTATGTTGCCACACCAGTTTGTTTTCCATTTTCCTTTTGTTTCAGTCTGGACCTGCAGCAGTGTTTCAAGTCTCTGACCTTTCTTGCAGGTAAGTGCTATTGTGGTTTAGTATGGTTCTTTTAGCGAACATTAGGCAGTGTAGGACCTGCCGAATATGGGGTACATTGGCGTTGTGGCAGGCTTATGCAATGTATGATCATATAATGTAACTAAATCCCCATACTTTTCATATATAGTGCTTAGTTATGTCTCCTCTTGTTTTGCCTATTATATCTTGTCTTGTTTTAGTTTGTATTCCCAGTCCATGTACAGTCCTGTCCTGCCCCAGTTTAGTTAATGTTCCCTTTATGTATTGTGTACATGTTCTGGGTTCTGCTTTCTGTCCTTCTCTGGTTCTGGGTTGTACTAGTTCCGTCTCGTTTTCATGTTTGGTGCCTGTTCTAGCCTTGCCTTGTTTCTGTACTGGATACATGTCTGCTGCAGAGCCCCCCTATCCAGTTCCTGGGAGGTCTGCATATCACGTTCCTAGTTCCTGGGATCCGCTGTAGCTGCATCAGGGTTCTGGTATGTGGCCGCGCAAACGCTGGTGCTCCACACCAGAGGACGTGTGGTTACCCTGAACCAGGCCCTGATAGTCCATTACCACGCTAAAGACTCCCACTTCTCATCAGGCACTCAGGGGTCCCGGTTTCCGTACCGCCACCTGTGACACAATCTTAATTTCCTACGTATCTCCTCACATACCGTATATGGTTATTTGGAGGAATCGGACGCTTCCCCCACACCACTTGTCAGTAGACCGCTGGTAGGCCGCAGGTCTGCCCCACACCGGATCTGCCATATACCCGAACCTACCTGGCAAATTGTATCCATTTCTTTGTATATTTCTTATATGTGTACTATATATGGCCCAGTTCAACAAAAGAAGATTGTCAAAATTCAAGAAACTGGTACATTGCTATTATTGTGTTTAGTTTTGCCTGCACAGTGTTCGCCTGTACTGTACCCTGAGAGGCTCCGGTATGCCAGATTAGGGAGGAGTGACAGCCTGATAAGTGTCTGTTATTGGCATTTATAAAGCAAAAAGTCTGTTTCTTTTAATCACAATGTGACTTAAAGTTCCACATTTTTATTTATCCATTTAAAGATGTTTAGAGGTAAGGGATCGGACATCCAGTCCTGTTCTAGGAGACATACAATCCTTCACGAGTACTGAAGAGTTTGGGTGATGAGTGACTACAATGTAATTTGCCAAAAAATATTTCCCCAACAGAAATCAGTGCACAATAATGGAAGTAAAGCCAAATCCTAACAGCCAATCCCATGTCTAGAAACTGCTGCCAATGACGTCTGATTGGCTGCTAGGAGAGGTGGCAGTAAACGGCTTGTGTGACGATGGTCCAACCAATACATAATATCACAGACTCTCTCATTAGTAAATGTCGCAAACAAATCCCATGAAGTAATGTTTACATAATAAAACTGGCCTTCTGCTAGTGCAGGAATTCAATGTAACGGTGTCCGTCACATAAGCCTAATAAATATATCACTCTTGTTTTATGTTGGGTGTTTCATTTGAACCAAAGCTGAGTCTAGTCTGGAATTATCGAACGTAAAGTAGGAGCAATGCAGCCAAATACCATGATCTCTCCATCGCTTAAAAGGGGTTTTTTATTCAAAACACATACGTCACCTGATCTTCCAGTAAAAGCCTGCTCTTAACTACTTCCTCATCTGTACAGAAAGGGCTTTGATTTCCCATCACTCACCCAGAGCAATGAGTCATTATTTAACCAGCGCAGCGACCATGTGCCCGGGACAGACCCCACGGCATCTCTCCATACAGATCAGCAGTTTACTGAAACAGCCGGCTTCAGGAGAAAACAACCAGAGGGAAGGAGAGAATAAGCCGGCCACGATTAGACTAAACAAAAAGCAGTTAACCCTGTGTGGACTGAGTGGTCCCCAACACCTCCATTAGATCCTTGCCGAGAGTAAAATACTAGGAAAGTTATATGTTACAAGAGACAAATGGCCCAGAAAGCTTTCATCTAGAGATCCATTGCAGGGATTATTTGTCGTTTGCTTTGTTTCATACATCTCAGTTTATAGCAATTTCATGTAATTTGTAGCATACTATGTGTGTCATTTTGATATTATTTATATCGCATTATCTGAAGCATGTTAAACAATAGTGCTACGTGTCTCTGCTTTTCAGTATAATCTGAACGTATTTGTGTTTAAAGGGACACAATAATCACCAGTGTAATCTATTGCTTCTGGTAGCTGCAGCCTTAGCATGGTAAATTACAGTTTAGTAACACCTCTCTGGGCAGTCACGTTCAGCATCTCCATGCACTGCACAGAGCCGCTGTATGCTCCCCATAGAAATGCATTTCTATGAGGAGATGCTGATTGGCGCAGTGCGACATTTTGCAGCACATGTGCAATAGCCTCCCATAGTTTTTCCATGGGAAAGCATTGGATTGGCTGAGATCTGCCAGATTGATGATCTCAGAAATGGAGGCGGGGCCAGTTGAAGTGAGAGAGGTGCGGTATGGTTAAAAGGGACCTGATTAGGGGTTTGAACACTAATTGTACTATGACTATACTAATCTGAAAAGTTTGATTACCGGCTCTAAAAAGGCGCACCTCTAAGACAGCATTTATTTAACTTCTTGGTAACACAATCCAACACTTATTATTGAACAAAATGTATTCTTGTACAAAACACTCTTGTATTTAACCAATCATTGTTAAAAACAAACACGCTTTAGAAGTAACTTCAATCTGATCCGATACCCCCTACTCATATTTCACAATATGGTGCAGGGCGATATACTACAGGCTCACTGGTTTAGCACTTTGGTTACATCAATCTTGCATTTTTATTCACTCAGATATTCATGCACATAGAAAAGTAAACTTTTTGGGGGTTTTTAACACTTTCACCTCTTCCAGAGGTACAGGCAGCTCGCAAAGTGGTGTTTACACCACACATTGTATGACAACATCACTTGAAATAATTTCTTGCCAATGATAATTAACTATATCAAATTACAAACTGAAATTAATGTACAATGTCCAATTCAGATTTTCACTAAATTAAATAATTCAGAGTAATCCAGTATATTTAGGTTTTCCTGTTTTTGCTTTAGTGAGCACAAAACAATCTTTAATCCTTATCCATGGATGGAAATTCTGTCTTTTTGTGCAAAATACTGATTACCCTCAGTATCAACCTGAATTACCTGTATCCCCAACATCTCCTCACCAAACACAGACATAACTGAGTTACTGCTATCTCTGTCAAGCAATGCAAACACCATATCTGAGTCTCTTAGATGCAATATATCAGGAACGCATTACTCACAGAACCGGAATGATCTGTGTGCAATAAATCTGTCCTATCGCAGGTTTGCAGCCTGTGAATTAGAAGCAGGTATTTCTCACTGGAGAATAACAGAAAAGCAATACACAATAAATAATATTCATTATTTGTGGCCATAAAATTTTGCGCAATGCACATAAAAAAGCAATTAGAAGTCATTACAATGATAGGGAAATAGAAAACCACGAGAGTTACCAAACTGTGCTGCAATGAGTGGCAAAGGATCCAACATGCAGAGACAGGGCGGCTTCTCACAGTACAAAGCGAGGGGTAGAGACAGGGCGGCTTCTCATGGTACAAAGCGAGGGGTAGAGACAGGGCGGCTTCTCACGGTACAAAGCGAGGGATAGAGACAGGGCAGCCTCTCACGGTACAAAGCGAGGGATAGAGACAGGGCGGCTTCTCACGGTACAAAGCGAGGGATAGAGACAGGGCAGCCTCTCACGGTACAAAGCGAGGGATAGAGACAGGGCAGCCTCTCACGGTACAAAGCGAGGGATAGAGACAGGGCAGCCTCTCACGGTACAAAGCGAGGGGTAGAGACAGGGCGGCTTCTCACGGTACAAAGCGAGGGGTAGAGACAGGGCAGCCTCTCACGGTACAAAGCGAGGGATAGAGACAGGGCAGCCTCTCACGGTACAAAGCGAGGGATAGAGACAGGGCAGCCTCTCACGGTACAAAGCGAGGGATAGAGACAGGGCAGCCTCTCACGGTACAAAGCGAGGGATAGAGACAGGGCAGCCTCTCACGGTACAAAGCGAGGGATAGAGACAGGGCGGCTTCTCACGGTACAAAGCGAGGGATAGAGACAGGGCAGCCTCTCACGGTACAAAGCGAGGGATAGAGACAGGGCAGCCTCTCACGGTACAAAGCGAGGGATAGAGACAGGGCAGCCTCTCACGGTACAAAGCGAGGGATAGAGACAGGGCAGCCTCTCACGGTACAAAGCGAGGGATAGAGACAGGGCAGCCTCTCACGGTACAAAGCGAGGGGTAGAGACAGGGCGGCTTCTCACGGTACAAAGCGAGGGGTAGAGACAGGGCAGCCTCTCACGGTACAAAGCGAGGGATAGAGACAGGGCAGCCTCTCACGGTACAAAGCGAGGGATAGAGACAGGGCAGCCTCTCACGGTACAAAGCGAGGGATAGAGACAGGGCAGCCTCTCACGGTACAAAGCGAGGGATAGAGACAGGGCGGCTTCTCACGGTACAAAGTGAGGGATAGAGATGGTACAAAGTGAGCGATCAAGGATGACAAATGTGACTTTTCATCTTTTGAAAAGGCTCATAAGAACACGTTTGCTGTGATTTCTGATTTATACAATACATATGATAGTTTAAACAATAGTAAAATATTACGCAATCTTTTTAGGCATTCTGTGGAGTAGAATTATTTAAAGGTATTGCCCACACAGGTAGCGATTTCACCCTAGTTGTTGCTGTGATAATTTAGAACTTTCCTTTCATACTTTTCCCAGTTGTTTGAATATTCATTTTAGACTATTAATTCTGTGGAGAAAGTTTGTTGCAATAAATGCTGTTTGCTGGTACTCACAATACTGTGCCTCGAGGCTCACTGACAGGGCATCTCATGGGGTCCGTGTCCTGTGAAATAAAAGGGAGAAATACATAATGAAACATTTACAGCCCAGCAAACATGGGTTCATCCATATCTAAGCAGTGATCCATTATCTATAGCTATTGATCTACAGCAAGACTTTCGAAAGCACTTGCTATTGTAACACCTTTTTTGTATAAAATTTATAGAATAAATATTGGTTGGTTTTTGGGTTTTTTTGCCTAATTTTGAGTGCGGTATTACATGTAATTATTAACATGAATTTATCATTTATGTTAGAGATAAATGTTGTATTAAATGTAAAACTTCTAGATATTATTATTATTATTATTATTATTATTGTCCAGTGCTGTCATTTCCTAAGTATACCTCTAAATGCCTGCAGTCGGATTTGATAGCTTATACTTGGGGGCATTTTCCCGAATGTCAGCTGTTCTCTCACTGAGCTTCACCTTCAGGCTAAAATTCTACTTTTGTTTCATAAACTTTAAAATATCGTTGAAAACACACAATGTATCTGTTTTATTCATTAGTTCTGTGTGTGAAATTAACATTCTGAAATACCGACAACCACTATTTTAATCTTACAGTTGGTCTCCCAGCGTCTGAAAAACCCCAGTCTCCTCCCTACCTTCCTCTAAACTCCACAGTTCAGGCGTTCGGTGATAGACTGAGAACATCGGCTGACACGCTCAGCCAATCACTGGCCTTCCATTGAGAGACATAGTACAGACACAGCTAAATTACAGTGAAATCGGTTCTCTTTGTAATGGCACAAGTGAGAAAAAAAATTAAGACCTGAGCGGGGATTTACTGAAGGGCAAGCTACTGAGTTCCTCTGAGGTTTTTGTCTGTTCTCAGGGCTTTCATATTCTTTATTTACGTTACAGTGAAATACAGGCTTTAAAGGGACACTGTGCGCAGTATAAACACTACACATAGCCGGAATGCTGCATGGAGTACCCTCACTTTAATATCAATCCGTTCTGTCTTTGCTTTGTAGCCATCACTTATTTACGACTTCTGCTGTGGCTTATCAAACCAGTCTGCGCCCATTTATATCAATTGTGTTTAGAGGGTTTTCTAGCCAATTCATTCTTACTCTGTAAAATGCAGAATTTGTCTCTCTAATGTCAATGTAAGAAACCATGTGTGTATACAATGGCAGCTTGTTGTCAATGGGAAGGCCCAGAGGCCACCTTATCTGCAGGTACAAAATGAGTGACATAACTGACAAAAAAGACAAACCAGTACTGTTCTACTTGATTTTTGTTTTTGTAATGTCTGTAAAACCAATATTTCTAAAATAAATAAAGAATTGTAAGGAAGCACAAAGAAAATGGCAAGTTCTGCAGCACGGAATACAAGCAAGTACAACAAACCCTGTATTAGGAGAGTCCGTAGCAACCATTCTCTAATACTGTGAGAAGTTGCGCAGGACCCGACCTACACACAATACCGAACGATAAATACAAACCATCAGTAAGATCAGTGTTGGCAGCAAGGTTTATATTCTACAGATCCAATGGTCGGATCAGTGGCAAAATAGTAACTGGAGCCAACAATTCGGAAACCAGATATAAAATAGAGACAGGCATGTGGACAGAAAAACTGGTTAATGGACAAGAGGACGCTCCAAAACAAAGGAGTGCTGATGGTTCTACTGAGGAAAGACAAAGTTTAAACTGTGAGTAAGCCTTTACCAAGTCATGACCTGATAAAGGTCTACAAGCGGGTTGAAATGTTGTCTTTCTCTATGCATTAAAAATAAAAGATTACTGCTTGCAAAAGAGGTGTGCTGTACCATTGGCAGGACTACCTCCAGTGAGCCTGCTCTGGGGTCCCAAACACTCATGGGGCCAATCAGGAACCCATGCACGTAGAGTCATCCGATGGGCACTGGCGTACTAAGCGGAGGGGGGCGGAGACTGTGTCGGGTCACTGAACGAGGTCCAGACACCAGGAGGGGGCCCGGCGGCTTGATTGATATGCCGCCGGGTGAGATGCCCCTCCTGCGCCCAATAGCAGACACAGCTCCTCAGTGTGCAGAGCTGCTGACCATGTGTCTCACGAGATCTGATCAATCCACGGCAACGCTCTGACTGGGTCTCGCGAGATTCATGTTCTGCAGAGCTGCAGACCGAATATTGTGGCCACCGGACCATGAGGGAGCCCACCAGACCACCAGGGAATAAAGGTATTTAATCTGTTCCCCCTCCCTCACACCATCACCCCTCCTCTCCCTCTCACATAACCCCCCCCACACGTCACCCCCTTTCCCTCTCACATCACCCCCCTCCCTCTCACGTTATCCCTCTCTCATCACCCTTCCTCCATCGCACCATCACCCACTCCTCTCATCATCACCTCTCACCATCACCCCCCTTCCTCTCATCATCTCTCCCTCACACCATTACCCCCTATGCCTCTCACTTCACCCCCTCCCTCTCATCATCACCCCCTCCATCACAGTATTACTCCCCACCTTCCTCCCTCTCACCATCAACCCCTTCCACACATCATTATCCACTATACAAGCACACACACTGCATTCACTATACAAACACATAGACTCACACTTATACATGTGTGTATGCGTATCTGTTTGTGTGTCTATCAGTGTGTCTGTGCCTGTGTGTCTCTGTGTGTGTCCGTACGTGTGTGTCAGTGTTTGTCTGTATATGACTGTTTCTATGTAACTGTATGTGCGTACCTCTGTGTATGTGTGCATACATCTTAGCATTTTGCCTACACTACACACAAATACAACCCTGCATCCAAATGTCAACACTACATAAAAACACCACCATATTCCAAACCCCCACTATTCAGAAAAATGCACGCCTGCATTCAAATGCCAATATGTGCAAACACACCCGTACATTCACTCACACATACTCCATACAAAAACATTCAAAAACACAAACACTGCTCGGTGCTAAATACATTAAGTATGTGTCTGTCAAAATATGTGTTAGTCTTTAACAGGAAGGGGTGTGGTCTTGGCAGGAAGGACTGGGGCAAATTTAAATTATGGGGTGATCAAGTTCCGTCATGCCTAGGGCAGCACAAATCTAAAATACATCACTGGATACACACGAAAGTAAAAAGAACACTCCCCCAAAACCATAAACTATAACAGTCTTCACCTCCATAATTAATGCTTCATATGAGCACATATTTATAGGTATGATATGGTAAGATATAAATCTATAAATAGCTGCTAGTATGTAGTACAAAATGAGTGGGGGGAAGACTACTGTATGGTTTTGAGGCTGAGGATTTTATTTTTTTTACGGCAGATAATGCATGCACTTACAGTGCCTTACAAAAGTATTCACCCCCTTGACTTTTTACCTATTTTATTACATTACTGCCTTAAGTTCAATGTTTTATTAATCTGAATGTGATGGATCAGAACACAATAGTCTAAGTTGGTGAAATGAAATGAGAAACTATTTTTTAGAAATAGAAAACAGAAAATTGGCACGTGTGTATGAAGCCCATAAAAGCTCTGGTGCAACCAATTACATTCAGAAGTCACATAATTAGTGGAATGATGTCCACCTGTGTGCAATCTAAGTGTCACATGATCTGTCATTACATATACACACCTTTTTTGAAAGGCCACAGAGGCTGCAACACCTAAGCAAGAGGCACCACTAACCAAACACTGCCATGAAGACCAAGGAACTCTCCAAACAAGTAAGGGACAATGTTGTTGAGAAGTACAAGTCAGGGTTAGGTTATAAAAATATCCAAATCTTTAATGATCCCCAGGAGCACCATCAAATCTATCATAACCAAATGGAAAGAACATGGCACAACAGCAAACCTGCCAAGTGACGGCCGCCCACCAAAACACACGGACCGGGCAAGGAGGGCATTAATCAGAGAGGCAGCACAGAGAGAGACCTAAGGTGACCCTGGAGGAGCTGCAGAGTTCCACAGCAGAGACTGGAGTATCTGTACATAGGACGACAATAAGCTGTACGCTCCATAGAGTTGGGCTTTATGGCAAGTGGCCAGAAGAAAGCCATTACTTTCAGCAAAAAACAAAATGGCACGTTTTGAGTTTGCAAAAAGGCATGTGGGAGACTCCCAAAATGTATGGAGGAAGGTGCACTGGTCTGATGAGACTAAAATTGAATTTTTTGGCCATCAAAGAAAACGCTATGTCTGGCGCAAACCCAACACATCACATCACATCACCCAAAGAACACCACCCCCACAGTGAAACATGGTGGTGGCAGCATCATGATGTGGGGATGTTTTTTAGGAGCCGGGACTGGGAATCTGGTCAGAGTTGAGGGAAAGATGGATGGTGCTAAATACAGGGATATTCTTGAGCAAAACCTGTACCACTCTGTGCGTGATTTGAGTCTAGGACGGAGGACACCAAACACACTGCTAAAGCAACACTTAACTGGTTTAAGGGGAAACATGTAAATGTGTTGGAATGGCCTAGTCAAAGCCCACACCTCAATCCAATAGAAAATCTGTGGTCAGACTTAAAGATTGCTGTTCACAAGCGCAAACCATCCAACTTGAAGGAGCTGGAGCAGTTTTGCAAGGAGGCATGGGCAAAAATCCCAGTGGTAAGATGTGGCAAGCTCATAGAGACTTATCCAAAGTGACTTGGAGCTCTGATTGCCGCAAAAGGTGGCTCTACAAAGTATTGACTTTAGAGGGGGTGAATACTTATGCACATTGACTTTTTCTGTTATTTTGTCCTATCTGTTGTTTGCTTCACAATAAAAAAACATCTTCAAAGTTGTGGGCCTGTTCTGTAAATTAAATGATGCAAATCATGCTTCTTTTGCTCTGATTAATACTTCTGCTGGAGATTTTCAGTAAAGCGAGATATGCAAATACTCTCCTCCTGTTATTACTAAAATTAAGATTATATGTACACTACGTTAGCATAATCTAGAATTTTGTAATATATTGTACTTGTCTATTCTACTGTATTTTATATATTGCATTATTAATCATTTTTATTTATATTTCATTATGTACATTTACTTAACATAATTGTTTTATTTTTATTTTCAAATTTTTATTTCATTTTTCTTATTTATTTTTCTATTTTCATTGTCATTTTTATTTTATTTTTTCAATTCTTCTTGTTTTTCCATTTTGCATATGTTTAATTCACATCCACTCTTTACATTGTACAGGTGGCACAGTATCTGTCCCTTTTTAAAAAAAATTTTATGTACATGCTTGAAGAGCTACAGTTATGGCGATTTTATTTTAAATTTTTTTTTTTGGCCTTTGCTTCTTTGGCCTTATGGCTTTCTCAGCAGGCGCAAGCTAGTTTCACACACGTGCATACACTAAGATCGCTGATCCGGTAGAAGACATCAAAACAGTCCGCATTCGACGCACCAGAAGTGCGTCATTGTGGGTCAAGCTGGAACGCACAGTGAACACACATGGATCTGATTTCCCATCACTGCCAGTCTATTTTAATGGTCTCCGTGTTCGGAATTAATGTGTATCCCTGAAGAAGTCCTATTTGCATGACGAAACGCGTTGGATTCTCTTTTTTTACTTTTATTTTATACTTTGTTTATCTTTATCTTAATAGTGCTGCTATTTCTTCACTGATATTGGCGGATTCTGCTGGTTCTACAGGACACTGACCCTGCTGGAGTTCCACTATTGGTGGAGATATGCTTATACTTTTTACACGTTTGTAAGTGCAATACAATAAATATTCCATTGTTTTTATTTTACTTCACTATTGTGCCCGTCTTCCTTCTTTTTATTTCTACTAAGAAGGATAATAAGCCTGATTTTTTTTTTTTTTCTTACTTTATACTCACTGGGGTGTTTTGTATTACTGTATTATGCTGTGTATTATTTATGATTTTTTTCATCTATCATTGTATATTAGTGGAACATTCTACAACCACTCTTCAAGTTATATTTACTTTTTTACGTGTATTGTGATTTTTCACATATTCTTTATAGCTTGTATTCTTTTGGATGTTGTTGTGATCACTATATATGAGGTGAGGTAGAGGCAAACAATATGCCTACAAAATTAACTGTCTGTCAAAAAAAAATTAGACCTGTACTGCAAAGGCTCCACACTGTAGTGCCAACAGTGTATAACAACAAACAATAAAGGAAAAGGAGTCCTGCGCATCCAGTAGAAGTGTGCACACCCAGGTGCTACCACAGTTTATTTGAGGACAAACTACAAGCCGCAAACGTTTCGGGCTAATGCCCTTTCTCAATGCTAATGTCAATTAGCATTGAGACTGTGTTTTCGCCTGAAGTGTTTGCTGTTTGTATATTGTCCTCAAATAAACTGTGGTAGCACCTGGGTGTGCACACTTCTACTGGATGCACAAGACTCCTTTTCCTTTTTTGTTGGATGTTGTTGTGAGGTACACCTGGGATTGCACTTTTTCACATATCAATATTTATTTTGTCTCACATATTATTTTTTTAGATAATGGATGGAGCAGTGTTCTTAGTGATCAGATTTCTATTTATTGCATCCTTTTTACCATACTTGCCAATAAAAGCTATGTTTTAATTTTCTACTTAAGCCCTGAACAGTCAGTCTTCTTTTTTCTTCTGTGTACTTCATGAAGTACCTGCCACAATACAGATACCAGACCTCGGACGGCTTTAATCGAATGGAATGTTCAGATTTATTTGAAAAATGTTAATCACTTATGATAATCTATGTCGTCATGCCTTCTGACGGCATAGAAATTACAATAAAAAATAAAATATAAAAGATTCAGGGGAAGAGGAAAAAAAACAGCAAATAGTGCTCTCTGATGATATAACGTGATAGATGATAAAAAATAATAAAATATACTCACAAATGGAGTGCAGACGTCACTGCACTCTGGTAGTAGCGTTGGTGGTATAATCCCCACCTCTGGATTGGTATTGGAAGATGAATAAAATGCCAGGAAAGTAGAATTGTGTCTAAAAAGATAATGGCGCAGGAATCTAGCCAAAAATCACTTATTATATAAAATACACAACATTTAAAACCATTAACGCGTTTCACCACTAGGGTTTTATCAAAATTATCCATTTTGATAAAACCCTAGTGGTGAAACGCGTTAATGGTTTTAAATATTGTGTATTTTATATAATGATTTTTGGCTAGATTCCTGCGCCATTATCTTTTTAGACACAATTGCTCATAGCCCTTTAAATAAAATTTGGAAACTCTCCAATCTCACAGAAACCTCCACTGCCTTGATCTCCAGCATTTCTCCACCAAACTCCAAACTCTTCTTTTACCCATCTTAAATCTCACTTGCCCTAACTCTGCAACCTCACTCTACAAATCCACTCTCTCCTCTCAACTAGACATCATGGCACCTCCTACATTTTAACCTAGCAAGCGTTCCCAATTACAACCCTGGCACATCAATCTGACTGAATATCTCCAAAAATGTTCAAGAACTGCTGAACGCTGTTGGAAAAGGTCTCACTCTGCACCTGACTTCCTCCTCTATAAATGTATGCTGCACTCCTACACTCTGGCTATTTCCTCTGCAAAAGTAAATTACTTCAATACCCTCATAACCACACGCTCCCGCAAACCCAAACGACTATTTCACACTTTTAATGCTCTCCTTCAACCTGTTGCTCCCCCTCCTCCTACCACCCTGTCCGCCTCAAACTTTGCAACTCACTTCACTGAGGTTTCTACAATCCTTGAAGAGATCTCTAAGCTCTCTCCCTCCACTTCTAATACATCACCCAACCTGCTGTTGTATGCTCATTCGCACCTACTACAACAGCAGAGGTTTCTGCTCTGCTTTGGTCCTCCCACACCACCACCTGCTCCCTCGATCCTGTTCCTTCACATCTTATCTGCACTCTGTCTCCCTCTCTTGCTCTTCCTCTCACTAAAATGTTCAATCTCTCCCTTTCCTCTGGCTCATTTCCTCACCTTTCAAGCATGCGACCATAACGCTGGTTCTGAAAAAGCCCAACCTTGACCCCAACTCCCCATCCAACTACCGCCCTATATCATAACTGCCATTTGCCTCCAAGATCCTTGAGAGAGTTGTGTAAGCGGATTGACAGACTTCCTCAAATCCCACTCCCTGCTTGACCCGCTTCAGTCTGGATTCCGCGCTCGTCACTCTGTTGAAACAGCTGTGACCAAAGTATCCAACGATTTAATCGCTGCTAAATCTCGTGGCCATTACTTTATCCTAATTCTCCTTGATCTTTCTGCTGCCTTTGACACAGTTGATCATCATCAGCTTCTTCTCATTCTCCGTAATCTCGGTTTACAAGATACTGCTGTCTCCTGGTGCTCCTCCTACCTCTCCCAGCACTTTTTCAGTATTTCTTTCTTTCTCTGGCTCTACCTTTTCTCCCCAATCCCTCTCTGTTGGCATCCCCCAAGTTCAGTCCTTGGTCCCCTACTGTTCTCTATCTATACTGCCTCCCTTGGTAAACTCATCAGCTCCTTTTGGCTTTCATTATCATTTACATGCAGATGACACACAAATCTACCTGTCCTCTCCTGATCTCTCTCCGCCCATCTTGACTCGTCCTATCCGCACGCTCACACCTGATGCTCGCCTCCAAAACTTTTACAGGACTTTTCTGTGGAACTCGCTTCCCTTCTCCATTAGACTTTCACCTAGTCTCCACTCTTTCAAAAAATCTTTGATAACACACTTCTTCTGGAAATCATATCATCTAAACTGTTAGCAGATTTCCTCATTTCCAAACATACCGTGGGGCAGACCCAGTTATCCAGCCAGTGATGAGTGCATGCAGCAACTGGGGCCATTGCAAAATTCCTTCAAGACGATTCTTGTAGCCCATGGAGCAGCGCAGCTAAGGGGAATGGGCCTTGACATTGCTAGGAGACAGGCATAGAATAACGGTATTGTGACGAGACCAATCTCGCCACATTGCATTGGAGAAGCCTGGTTGCTCGCCTGCTGCCTTTGGACTATGGCCCCCTTTTAAAAGACTTTATTTTTCCATGCAGAAAAGCCATATTCATGCTTTTCTGCCGGTTGTTCGGTAGTTTCAATCTACCGAACAACCGTACGAATGACTGGACCACCTGGGAGCTGGAGTGTGCCGGCAATTAACCTCCCTGAAGCTGCGGTTAACCGCAGCTTAATTGATGAACGCTGGGTGGCCGCCGTTCGTATCCCGAACACGAGGTCGCGGCCATTTTAAACCATACGAATGAACAGCGGTGTTCGCCTCTATTTTCATGGAACTAAAATCGGACACAGTTTTGCGCGAACACCGCTGAAGCCGCCGACCTCCCTTCTTGTTCGGTGAAAGCACACGAATGACCCGGTGTTCGGTATTTTTGTGTGAATGTCTTATACCCCAGATAGGAATCCCATGGAGCCCATTCGTATGAAACTGACTGTAAAGACTTTGGCTCCATGGCGATTGAACTGTATTCGTGTAGTCTGAGTGCCATTCACCTAATAATGTGCACTCAGACCTGAGCTATCTGGGGATGTGTTACATGCCTGTGTTTAATGTAGTAAATGTTACTCTATGTATTTTAAAGTATAATGCTGTTTTTGTGTTCCCACGTGTGTAATGGAGTTTTGCCTTTGTCTTGGGAGATAATTGAGTTACTTCCCAATTATCTCCCAGGGCAGAGGGGAGGAAGCCAGGATGCATTGTGGGAATATACTGTGACTGTGTGTCCTTTTTGTATACTTGTCTGTCCCTTGTCACAGTCTCCCATTTGGTCCCCTAGGGGAGTGTCCACCAGGTGGGAGACCTGCATAAAAGCTGGGCAGGTAGCCCTCATTAAACAGACCACTGCTTGACCCTCAACACGGAGCCTTGTCTCGTCTTTGGGGGGATTTACTGTATGCTGCTAAGGACTGATTGCCAGGAGTGTAAGCCGCTTGGAAGCTTTTCCTGTTCGCCTGCTAGCAGCTATTCGTATGGTTCCTGTTCGTTTATTTGAAGTGCTACCTTATTCCCTTGTATGCCGTTCGGGAGTTTGGAGCATTCACTTATTGGCGGTTCGTGAGTTTTGGTGATTATTCAGTAGCTGTGCCTGTCTCTGAAAAGGGGATTATCGTCTAAGCGGTTTTTTCCCCTTTTTGTGCAAAACGGTCCGTTACAATTGGTGGCAGCAGTGGGATCGTTCCCACAGACTACAGGACAGCTACAGGCGACACCATTCCTTGGATTTACAATTTGAGGGCAACGCATGTCTGAGTACAGCGACCCTGACAGCAACAGCATGGAACCAGCAGTGTCATACGAGGAGGAGGACCTGGATGGCCGGGATGCATTAAGGAAAGGCATCTGGTACCAGGCCCTGGATAATGTACAGTACCAGCGGGGTGAGAGTCTCCCCAGTGAAGAGCAGCGGTTGCAGAAGCAAGTGGCCCTGCGGATGCCCTTCCTGGGAGAGCAGCCCCTAGATGAATGGGTGAAGGAATTGGAGCACCGGGTATGGCAGGAGATTTGGCTGGAAGATGCATACCAGGCGCTTTGGTGGTATGGGGCACAGTACCTGCCCTGGACAGCCGAGCATGACAAGCCAGAGGGAGAGGAGTTTGATGGTCCTGGCTTGTTATGGGAGGCTTTTTCAGAGCCTGAATTTGGGAGCCCTACACAAGCCCGGTTCAGTGATCTCTTGGAGTGGAGGGAGAGCAGGTATGACTGGGGCGACACTCACGACATTGAGCAAGACCTGGCTCACCTAGCAACCCTGGAGTGGGAACTGGAGCAGGACTACCGAGATCTCTTCCACTCCATTGAGAAGATTCAGCAGGACAGCAAGGTGACAGAGCCAGAACCAGACCCATTCAGCTGGGAAGACATTGTGGATATTTTCTGGGAAGAACCCCAGGTGGCCGGTAGAGATGGGACCGAGGTCTCTCCACCGGTCCTGCAGGGAATTGGGAGCCCAGTCTCCATTCCCCAGCGGCCGTGTGATTTATTGGGAATTGGGAGCCCAGTCTCCATTCCCCAGCGGGAGATATTGCAGGGAATTGGGAGCCTGAGCTCCATTCCCCAGCGGCAGGCTGAGTTACAGGGGACAGAGATAGTCGCTCCTGTCCCCCAGCAGCAGAATGAATTGCAGGGAATTGGGAGCCCGAGCTCCATTCCCCAGCGGGAGAAATTGCAGGGAATTGGGAGCCCGAGCTCCATTCCCCAGCGGGAGATATTGCATGGAATTGGGAGCCTGAGCTCCATTCCCCAGCGGCAGGCTGAGTTACAGGGGGCAGAGGTAGTTGTTCCTGCCCCCCAGCAGCAGAGTGATATGCCGGGAAGGCAGTGTAAAGTGCAGGGAGAGGAGAACAGCGTCCTCCCTCCCCAGCGGCAGGCTGAGATACAGGGGGCAGAGGTAGTTGTTCCTGCCCCCCAGCAGCCAAGTGATATGCCGGGAAGGCAGTGGGAAGTCCAGGGAGAGGAGAGCAGTGTCCTCCCTCCCCAGCGGCAGCGTGATTTTTTGGGAATTGGGAGCCCAGTCTCCATTCCCCAGCGGCAGAATGATGCTTTGGGAATTGGGAGCCCAGTCTCCATTCCCCAGCGGCAGTATGATGCTTTGGGAATTGGGAGCCCAGTCTCCATTCCCCAGCGGCAGTATGATGCTTTGGGAATTGGGAGCCCCATCTCCATTCCCCAGCGGCAGAGTGTCCTACCGGGAATAGAGAGCCCAGTCTCCTTTCCCCAGCAGCAGGACTCTGTATTGGGAGCAGAGACAGTCGGTCTCCCTCCCCCACAGCTGGAAGTATGTATGGGAGAGGAGCTTGTTACCCCCTCTCCCCAGCGGCAGCTTAATGTACAAAGGGGAGACAGTAAGCCCCACAACCGTGCAGATGGGACCGTAGTCTCTACACTGCCAGCACAGGGGGTAGGGACGGTCGGTCCTGCCCCCCAGCGACAGGGCTGTTTAGCCAAAGGGGAGACAGTCGGTCTCCCCCTCCAGCAGCAGAGATGGGTAACCAAAGGGGAGACGGTCGGTCTCCAGCAGCAGGACTGTGCATCTAAAGGGGAGACAGTCAGTCTCCAGCAGCAGGACTGTGCATCTAAAGGGGAGACAGTCAGTCTCCAGCAGCAGCAGCAGAGCGGTGTATTTAAAGGGGAGACAGTCGGTCTCCCCCTCCAACAACCAGGCTTCCACCAGGCTACCCTCCCAGTAGCGCTGGCAACAGGGCAGAGTGCCGCTGGTCTCTGCCCACGCAGCAACCCACCAAGTCAGCGTACCCGTACCCAGCACAGCCGTGGTGAGGCACCTGGACATGGACAAGCTTCCCCTTTACCCAGGTGTAGTAACCATTTATTGTGGGTGGGCTGTGCTGTTGATTATTTGTTGTGGGTGGGCTGCTGGACTAACAAGGGCACTGACCGGCAGGAGGTCAGATACCCTGTTAGTCTGTTTGGAAAAGGGGAGAGATGTGACAAGACCAATCTCGCCACATTGCATTGGAGAAGCCTGGTTGCTCGTCTGCTGCCTTTGGACTATGGCCCCCTTTTAAAAGACTTTATTTTTCCATGCAGAAAAGCCATATTCAGGGCCGTCTTTAATAACGAATGGACCCTGGGCAAGTGTTTGCTTGGGCCCCCTGTGCCCTGCCGCTCTCGCCCCTCACTCCCTGGTATGCAATCACGGCATCCATCCCAACGCAGTGGCGGTACTAAAGTAGAATGAATTTTATTGGGACCCCCAATTGCAAGGTTGGACTAAAGGTAGAACCCCATCTGTCGTGCAACTCCAACAATGCTTTGACAGCTGGGACTCTACCAATTTCCCATGCTTGCAGGGTTGTATTTAGCACTGAGCCATGTTAGTATGTTTGAATGTAAGCATGTGTTTGTATGGAGTATGTTTGTGTGAATGTGTTTGTATGTGGTACTGGAGTTTGAATGCAAGTGTGCATTTATGTGTAGTGTTTGTTTTTGAATGTAGGAGTGTGCTTGTATGTAGTGTTGACGTTTCAATGCAGGAGTGTGTTTTATATGTAGTGTTGAAGTTTGAATGGAGGGGTGTATTTGTATTTAAAGTTGCGGCTCAGATGCACAGGTACACACTCTGACGCACAAGCAGATACACAGATACATACACTGACTACATACAGATAAACAGGCACATACACTGACAGACACACTGACACAGGTACATATATTGACACACACACAGACACATACACTGGTAGACGTACTGACAGACATACTGACACAGGCACATATACAGACATACTGACACACAGACACATATACCGACATACTGACACACACACACAGACACATACACTGATCAACATACTGACACACATACACTGACAGAAATACTGACACCCACACACTGACAGATATACTGACACCCACATACACTGAGAAATACTGACACACACACACAGGCACATACACTGACACACACAGACTGATATACTGACACACACACACACAGACATACTGGCACACAGACAGATATACTGACACATGCATACACATGCACTAACAGACATACTGACGCACTGACAGACATACATACTGACACACACAGATATATACACACATATATACTGACACACAGACAGACATACTGACACACACAGACAGACATACTGACACACACACACAGACATGCTGACACACACACACATACACTAACACACACACTAACACACACACACACACACTAACACACACACACTAACACACAAACACACACACTAACACACAAAACACTAACACACACATACACACACACACAATCACATACACTAACACACACATACACAAACACACATTTTTTTTTAAAAAATGTAATCCCCCCAGCCTCCTTACCTTTTGGAGTGCTGGGGGGATTCCCTGGGGTCCAGTGGTGCTGGTGGGCTCCTGGGCGGGTGGCCGGTCGGGCAGGAAGGCGGGCGCGCGAGGGAGCACTCACTGCTTCCTCTTCAGCTCCCTCGCGCGCCGCGTAGGATGCCGGCGCCGGAAGATAGCGTCATCTTCGGCTCCGGCATCAGTGCGGTCTTGGGCAAAGCGCCCCGCCTTCTTTAGTCAGCGAGGCCGCAGGCGATGCCTCAGGCCCCAAAAAGAGGCTAGAGGAGCTGCCCGTTTGCCCAGCGTTAAAGACGGCCTAGCCCCAATTCATGCTTTTCTGCCGGTTGTTCGGTAGTTTCAATCTACCGAACAACCGTACGAATGACTGGACCACCTGGGAGCTGGAGTGTGCCGGCAATTAACCTCCCTGAAGCTGCGGTTAACCGCAGCTTAATTGATGAACGCTGGGTGGCCGCCGTTCGTATCCCGAACACGAGGTCGCGGCCATTTTAAACCATACGAATGAACAGCGGTGTTCGCCTCTATTTTCATGGAACTAAAATCGGACACAGTTTTGCGCGAACACCGCTGAAGCCGCCGACCTCCCTTCTTGTTCGGTGAAAGCACACGAATGACCCGGTGTTCGGTATTTTTGTGTGAATGTCTTATACCCCAGATAGGAATCCCATGGAGCCCATTCGTATGAAACTGACTGTAAAGACTTTGGCTCCATGGCGATTGAACTGTATTCGTGTAGTCTGAGTGCCATTCACCTAATAATGTGCACTCAGACCTGAGCTATCTGGGGATGTGTTACATGCCTGTGTTTAATGTAGTAAATGTTACTCTATGTATTTTAAAGTATAATGCTGTTTTTGTGTTCCCACGTGTGTAATGGAGTTTTGCCTTTGTCTTGGGAGATAATTGAGTTACTTCCCAATTATCTCCCAGGGCAGAGGGGAGGAAGCCAGGATGCATTGTGGGAATATACTGTGACTGTGTGTCCTTTTTGTATACTTGTCTGTCCCTTGTCACAGTCTCCCATTTGGTCCCCTAGGGGAGTGTCCACCAGGTGGGAGACCTGCATAAAAGCTGGGCAGGTAGCCCTCATTAAACAGACCACTGCTTGACCCTCAACACGGAGCCTTGTCTCGTCTTTGGGGGGATTTACTGTATGCTGCTAAGGACTGATTGCCAGGAGTGTAAGCCGCTTGGAAGCTTTTCCTGTTCGCCTGCTAGCAGCTATTCGTATGGTTCCTGTTCGTTTATTTGAAGTGCTACCTTATTCCCTTGTATGCCGTTCGGGAGTTTGGAGCATTCACTTATTGGCGGTTCGTGAGTTTTGGTGATTATTCAGTAGCTGTGCCTGTCTCTGAAAAGGGGATTATCGTCTAAGCGGTTTTTTCCCCTTTTTGTGCAAAACGGTCCGTTACAGGTATGTATATGGATTGGCTATGTTGATAGTGGGGGTGGGGTTTTGGGTAATGGGAGTATATATAGGGGGCCATTTTAGATTAGGGGCCATCTTACTTAATCCTCACTTACCTGTTGTTGTGGCAGGTCAGTGAGGTGTCTCTGTTTTTGTCTTTCAGGTACAACTTGCTGTTTGAAGATGGAGTAGCTGTTGGCTGGAGTCCGGAATGCTGTGCTGGAGAGGGGAGTGGAGTGGCTTCAAGGTTGTCTGGGAGATGCTTTGCGCCTGGCCGGGCTTTTCTCTTCGTCCCCGGGAAGTCGTCACCCTAGAAGGACCAGACCGTCGCAGATTTTGAGCCCCCACGAACAGGGATCGAAGGGGCCAGAACCCAACAGTGGAGCCTGGTAGGGCTGAAGCGGCGGCTGGCCGGAGTCCCATGACGGCCGCACCGCGAGGAAGGCATCGGAGTGTGGCCGCACGGCCAGGATGTGTTCCTGCGAACGGGATGGTGTAAGGACGTTCGGGCCGCGAATCAGTGCAGTCGGGAATGGCTGGTCTTTCTGTCCTCGATCAAGTAAACGGCGGAGCTGCTGAACAAGTGGAAACTGTCGAACGTTTGAGCCGCAAACAGGGAGCTGCCGAATGTTCGAGCCGCGAACAGGAAAGCTGGATTTCTCCCAAACGGGCTGTGGCCACTTTAGATCGTTCAGGCCGCGAACCCAGGAAAACTGGTGGTGACTCTGGTTCGGTTTCCATGGTGGGCAAGGCGGTTACCAGGCAAAAGGCAGTTTACTTGGCAGTGGACTTTGTGGTTGGCCCTAATGAAGCCGGGAGGGCTACAAGGACAGGATCGATGGTGGACGGTGCAGTTTCAGCTACAGGTGAGTCGGTCACCAACACGGGTCACCTGCATACTGGCACTGGGGCGTCATGCAGGCGGTGGCTTATAAGGGGGGATGAGGTTAGCGGGGGGGGCAGTACAAAGTCCTTAGGCAAGGGTCAGTTTCCCTGGACAGGCGGGGGTCTGGGAGCAGCTTCTCACGGTCCCCTCCCAAGCTGACAGGGAGGGCGACTCCACAGTAATGTGGACGCACAAAGGGGGAGACGTACTCTGGGGGGTCACCACTTGGACGGGTTGACGGTGGGCGGACATCACTGCAACCAGGGCTCAGACATAAAGTCCCAGTGGGATGCCAATAGGAAGGGCTCCCGCACACGCTCCAGGAGTGTTCTGCAGGGTGCGAGGCAAGGAGACGGTAGGGGATCACCGGTGGTCATGACGCGGGGTCGACACATAGATTCCCCTGTTAGGAAGAACGGTGACCGGTACCAGGTAGCTCGTTCTTCCAGCGGGAGTTCTCAGGAAGGGGACGGCAGAGGTCTCCCGTCAGGTGGGTATGGCCAATGGGGTCAGGACGAGGGGAGGCACGGGGGCAGCATACATGGTCAACCCCGGGCAGACGACAGGGATGTTGGGGCACATTAGGGCAAAGTAACCAGGATGTTTTCTCATTCCAGGTCTCCGGGACGGTCGCCCACGGAAAGGGTATGACCACAGGAGGAAGAATCACGGCGGGAAGCGCCACTGCGCCACCGCGCCACCGCCAGGACGAAGGCACTTGGGATGCTGCCTCGCGGCCTTCAGCAGCAAGAGGTTTGGATGGTGAGTCAATGGAAACCCGTAATTCTGGGGATATGTTTGAGGGTTTAAAGTCCTTTCTAGAGTCTTGGAGTGTAGATGGGGGTAAGGCGGTGGACAGTGACTTCAACGACGCGGGAGTTGGGGAGTGAGCGGGCAGAGCTGAGTGGGGGCGTCCCGGAGGTGGCACGCAAAAACGTGCATGTACCATTTGCAGGACCATTGGGCTGTCACCTTAAGCCCGAGCTGAAGGACAGTATTTGGAAAGGGGAGTTTGTGGAGATACACAAGAAGGATAGCAAGAAAGAGGAAGAAGAGAAGAGGAGATGGTATCGGAAGATCCCTAAGTTGCCAGTATGCAGAAGGCTTTAGTGCCTTCTGCATACTGGCCAGTGTGGTGGGGGAGAAGTCCCCGAATCGCTGCTCTCAATTAGTCTGCCATCTGGACGGTATCTGGAAGGTGTACCGGACATGGTGGAGTTATGACAAGCAATTTAGTCAATGCCTTGCAGTTAACCCAGGGAATGAGATGGGATCAGGTGGATCTCCTGCTGTGGATGAAGCTGATGATGGCGCAGAAGGCATCCCCCTTTCAAGCAGGGGCCGGCGCAGTCCCTGCCTCAGCCTCGTCGGCCGTCCAGAGAAAAGGTTTCTGCTGGCTCTTCAATAAGGGCCGTGGGGAGCCTCCTGTCGTTTCAAGCACAAGTGCTCGGGATGTGGGGGGGCACATAGCTATAGCAGATGTTTCAAGTAGGAGAAGCCTTCAAAGGCCGGGGGGGGGGGGTACAGTGGGTGGCAATCAAATCCTCTTCCGCTGGGGTTAATGCTGGTGAGGGTAGGCGCGATGGAGTCGTGGTTATACCGCTACGGTAATCAAGTATATGCGGCGCTGCTGAGGGATGGGTTTGTTTACGGTTTTGTCATTCCGTTCCGGGGGAGGAAGGTGGTCCAATGTCTGCACAATTTGAAATCTGTGGGGGATTTTCCCGGTATCGTGCGGGAAAAGTTGATAAAGGAGGTCCAACTGGGGTGGAAGGCGGGGCCGTTTGCGGCGCCACCATTGGCGGGTCTTTAGGTTTCCCTCTTAGGGGTGGTGCCAAAGAAGGAACCTGGTAAGTACCGGCGATACATCATTTGTCGTATCTGAAAAGATTGTCCGTGAATGATGATATCGACCGGGATCTTTGCTCAGTCTCTTATACATCATTCAACAACTTCATCAAGTTGGTTCGGAGGGTGGGCCAAGCAGCATTGTTGGCTAACGTGGACATGGAAGCGGAATTCCACTTATTGCCAATCCACCCCGATTGTCATCATCTCCTGGGCTATTTTTTTGGTTTGTTTTTTTGAATGGCAGTACTATGTGGATTTGTGCTTACCTATGGGTTGTTCCATCTCATGCGCCTACTTCGAAAAAAATTCAGTTCCTTTTTGGAGTGGGTGGTCCGGGTGGAGGCAGGCACAAAATTCATAGTCCATTATCTCGATGATTTTCTTTGCGTCGGGCCAGCCGGGTTGGATGTGTGCCGGGTGGGCTTGCGAACACTGGAATGGGTCGCACAAGTTTTCGGCGTGCCTTTGGCAGGGGGATAAGACTGTGGGTCCCACAACCTGCTTATCCTTTCTGGGCTTGGAGATTGATTAAGTGCGGGGGTGTGTCGCTTGCCAGAGGACAAGCTGATTGCTCTTCGGTAAGCGATATCTGAGGTCCAAGGATCTAGGAAGGTTACGTTGCGGGCTCTGCTGTCCTTGATAGGTCATTTGAATTTTGCTTGCCAGGTGATTCCGGTGGGTCGGTTGTTTAATAGGTTCCTGGCTAGGGCTACGAGTGTTTCATTCCCCCATCATTTTGTACGGGTTTCGGCTTCCATGAAGGCTGATTTGGAGGTGTGGTCGGTTTTTCTGCAGGATTTTAGTGGTCGGGTGTTTTTTCGGGAGGTGGCGGTTGCGTCGCAAGACTTGGAATTGTTTACGGATGCGTTGGGGAGTGTTGGGTTTGGAGCTTATTTTGCTGGGCACTGGTGTGCGGAACCTTGGCCGGAGGCATGGAAAATTGGCATTTCTGGAATTTTTTCCATTGGTGGTGGCTTTGGCTTTGTGGGGGCGGCAGTTGAAGTACAGGAAGTTGATATTTTTCACGGATAACATGTCAGTAGTGGATGCTGTTAACGGTTTATCTGCTTCCTCCATCTCAGTGGTTCGGCTACTTCGCCATTTTGTTTTGTATTGCATGAAATTTCATGTGGTTTTCCAGGCGTGAATGTGCCCGGGTTCTTGAATATTGTTGCTGACTCGCTCTCTCATTTTCAGAGGGCGAGATTTCGGTCAGCGGCTCGGACGCGCAGAAGGAAGGGGTTCCCTGTCCGGCGGAGGTGTAGCAGCCCGGGATATCTTGCTTGGCGGACTCATAAGAGAATCACCGGCGCCGTCCACATGGGTAGCCTACGTCAATGTTTGGCAGGATTGGGACAGGGTGATGGCGTGTGGAAGGCGGTGGGTCACTGCTCTGCTAATTCCAGGTTGGAGATGCTTTTGTGGTTCTTGTGTAGGCGGTTTGCTTCAGGGGCGCTACTTCTTCCGTTGTGGGGCGGAACATGACAGCGCTAGCGTTCTTATTCACTCTTAATGGCTGGGAGGACATGACTAAGCATTTCATTGTCCAGCAAACACTTATGGGTACCGGAAGGGGCGGGCGTTGCGTGATGTGGGCGGCCTGTATCGTTTGAGGTCCTCCGCGGTTTGTTTGGCATGCTCCCGGAGGTTTGTTCTTCGGAATATGAAATTCTTCTGTTTTCCGGGGCCTTTAGTTGGGCCTTTTTTGGGGCATTTCGGGTGAGCGAACTGGTCAGTGGCAATTGCTTTGGTGGAAGGGGGTTTGCAGCTTTCGGAGGTCAAATTATGGGAAGACTGGGTGGTATTGCATTAAAGTCGGTCAAAGACTGACGTCTTTGGTACTGGTTGCTCGGTAGTACTGTTTTTGTTGCCAGGTGTCAAAGTTTGTCCGGTCTCTTCTGCTTTTGCTTTTCGGGCAATACGTGCAGTTGTTCGGTGTTCGTTTTTGGTTCACACTGATGGGTCCTCCTTATCACGGTTCCAATTCTTTAGGGTTTTCCGGTTAACCTTAGCACATATCTGTTTGGCTCCATAGCAGTATGGGGCGCACTCTTTCTGAATCGGGGCCATGACTGAGGCTACCCAGCTGGGCTTGACAGAGGACTTGGTTAAGAAGATCAGTAGGTGGGAATCTGTTCGTTTTAAAACATATGTGAGACCTGACCATTTAGTTTAGGTTCAGTTGGGTGTCGGGCGGGTGCATGTGTTAATCTGTTTGTTTACATGGTTGGAAATGTGGAACGTTTGTATTAACCTTTTTTTTTTTTCTCCCATAGGCTGGAATGCTTGGGTGATTGGACAATCGTTCATCTACTGGGCAAAAAGGAAGGCCGCAGTTCGTCACGGCATGCAGCTGGGCTTTCCTTGTTCAGTAGTCCGAGTTTTGTGGTTTGGTTTTCGGGGTTCCAGCTGGCGGGTGGGGTGTTGTGAGTTATGGAGGCGGGTTGGTGAAGATCAGGTGCCAAATGTGATATTGGTACACGCTGGGGGGAACTATTTGGGGCAGGTCCTGCAGCGGGAATTGATTGAGCAGATGAAGACGGATGTGGACACTTTGCGGCAGATGGTCCCAGGGGTGGTGGTGATATGGTCTGAAATGATTCCCCATTTGCATTTGTATCATGCTAGGGATGTGAGGGCATTAGAAAAAAGCAGGGGTAAGGTGAATAAAATTATGGTGAATTATTTTCGTCGAGTGGGGGTGTGGTCGTTCGGCATTGGGATTTGGAAGCTATGATTCCTGGATATTACCGGCCTGATGGTGTTCATCTTTCCGATGTGGGCCTGGACTTTGTTACTAGGTTTTCAGAATGGTTTACAGAAAGCTGTGTTTTTGTTGGGGGTGCTTAAGTAGCTTAAGGAGTCAAGCTCTGAGCTGTGGTGGGGGATGGATAGAAAAGTTGGGGAGTAGGTCATTTGTTCATAGGTATGTTAGTATTAGTTTGCTACGAACAGTTAGGTTTGGAATGGTATTGGTAGGTTCGAGCTCGTTGGTAGATCTGAACCTGGACACTATGCATGTGTCATGTTTAATAGGGAGGCTCTAACATGTTTATTAATATGATCAGAACGTGCAGAATTACATCCGATTCTATAAAATGTGTAACCGGTACAGTCTTTGAATACACCCTTTAATCAACATAACAACTACAATACTATTACAATACTGTTGCAGTTTATTGTATTATTACAGCTCATTGTACTATTACAGTTCAGTGTATTATTACAGCTTATTGTTTCATTACAGCTCATTGTAACATTAAAGCTCATTGTATTATTACAGTTCAGTGTATTATTACACCTTATTTTATTATGCCTTATTGTATTATTACAGCTCAGCCTCATTGTATTATAACAGTTCAGTGTTTTATTACACTTTATTTTATTATTACAGCTTCTTATTACAGGTCATTGTATTACAGGATATTGTATAATTACAGCCTGTTGTATTACTATGGCTTATTGTAACATTACAGCTCACTGTATTATTACAGCTTATTGTATTATTGTAGCTTTTTGTATCATTACAGCTCAATGTATTATCACAGCTCATTGTATTACTGCAGCTTCTTCTATTATTACAGCTCAGTGTATTACTGTAGCTTCTTGTATTATTAAAGCTCAGTGTATTATTACAGCTTATTATATCATTACAACTTATTATAATATTACAGCTCATTGTATTAGTATAGATTGGAGCTTTTTCCTACATTAATGTCCTTTGCACACTTATGTTAATGTTATTTTTAGATTAAAAGTGTTTTATATAATGCAAACAAGAGAGAACAGAGTACATTGAAAATACATTTTATAATAAGTGACATTGAATGTCTAGTAATGTCACAATATCTGATTTCTCTGTCACAGGTTACGTGATCTATTCTTAACAGATATAATGACCAGTTGTCAATTAACTCATGTCATTAGAAAAAAGATACAAATAAGGTAAAGGAATCTGCCTAACAAAGGTAGAAACCCCCCTTACTGAAATTACCTCCTAAGTAGAATCATTCAAAGGTAATGGCAAAACAACAAAATAATAATGAAAAATTTAAACAACAACCTAAAGTTAAAATACAATAGAGTAAATTGAAAAAAGGAGAGCAGGAGAAAGTGTCTCGTAATAATCAACAAGTATAAAGGGTATTGAAAAATCACTGTAAGGGTATAAAAAAAATCCCTATAAGAAACCTAAGTGTGCTGCATGCACAAAACAATATGTATAGTATAGCCTGAGGTGGGCAAAACGTCCGAGGTGCTCAGGATATCAATTACACAGCAGACAGCATACAGAACATGTAGCCTGTGTAGGACAGAAGGTGAAAAGATGGTCAGAGATAGGTAATAGCCAGGGGGGTTCTATGAATAAGACCCCTCAGATGGAGTAGTGGGAGTAGACCTGCATCTAGTTGGATGGAGGCATAACCCTACAATAAACCCAATGGCAGCCAAACCCCACTCCCAAACCAGCCGTGCTAATAACCCTCCGTATCTAGGAGGCTATCCAGAGAAATGGCTAGAGCTATCCAACCTTATCACCTATGCTATCTGCTACTTCATGGCAGCTAAAGGATTCTATGTAGCTTGCCCTGCGTGTTTAACATAAAGAGCTGCAGCTAACAGAAACGGATAGACAAACTATTCTCCCCTCAATAGAAACGAGAACTAAAAGGCACACTAAGTAGCTCAACACGCGTTTCGCCAGTAAATCCTACCTTTGTCAAGAGCAAATGTGTCCAGGATTAGATTCTGTTATATAGGAGGGTTCAGCCCTCCTCCTTGAATAAATTAGCCAATGGGAAACTTCAGACGTCTGGGGAACACCTCCATGGCTTAGCACCCTCCTTCATTTTTAATTCTGACAGCTGAGTGTTCTGAGTCATCAAAGGGGAGGGGGAATTAGGTGTGCATAATAGTTAAATACTTTAAAGTACCCTCCTATTTAGGGACGGATCTGAAAACACATAAACAATGTGTATCACGGTAGAAATTAACATTGTACGTATTCTAACTATCAACTGGGTTTAAACTTCAAATGTAACAACTGTGTAAACCTGCAGTACAGGGAGCCATCGCTAATGTCTAATAGGTGATCGTAATCAGCGGAAGGCAATAAATTTAAAATCAGCGGCTAGGCATGAAAATTGCTGCCGCTGGATTTAATGTTGCGCTTGACAAGCTATCTAATGAATAAACGTTATCCGTGATCTCAGCTGTTCCTACAAGATGGTGATACACTCCTATATATATGTCACAGTGGATATAAAAGATGCTGTCCCAAAATGCATAATCCTTTTATCATCCCAGGAGAGTATTCCTATAAATATATATACTGTATCTACTAATTTCGGTTAACTACAATTAATGTCCAACAGAAAATAATGGACACTGGATAAAGATGATTCAATAGTGAGATCTGTATTTAGAAAAAAAGACCTAATATATTAGTTAAAAGGTCTGTACAGAAAAAGATAAACACCCTAGTCACATAAAGTCTCGCTTAACTCTCCTACAAATGTGGAGATAGTTTAATAAAGCAATTATTTAATAGTAAGGCAATGTTCCCAAAAAGAATGATGAATACCAGTGTTCATAATAAATCTAACCTTGGCATATGGAATAGCAGGTAAAGGTAGAAATGGTTAAATGAAAGGGGAAAATGAGAACCCCTCATTTAACCCCAGTGGATGCAGTGTTATTAATTTATATATCCACACATACTCCCTTTGTCTTAAAAGTTTGTCAAAGTCTCTGTGTCTCTGGTCTTGCTTCACCAGCAGTAGACCACAGAATTTTAGAACTTTGGGATTCCCTACCCCCCCTCGGTTTTCTTTAAGGTGTCCCGACATAGGTGTTTCTACTCAATTCTTGGGAGACCTTACATTCTGTTTTATTCGCTCCTTAAATGGGCGAAAGGTCTTACCCACACATTTCATGTTGCATCTACATGATATTAGGTATATAAAGCCCACTGTATTACAATTAAAGAAGTGTTTGACTATGAAGGATTGATTACCCACACTGTCAGTCACCTTTTGTGAGTTGCCGCGGAGAACAGTTTGGGAACCGCTGTTCTAGACTTATCCAGCATAGGGTAAACCTGGCTCCTCGCAGGTTCTGAAATACATTTCCCATGGGCCTTAGTGCTGTTCTACTACAATTACTTACTTTTTATTCTCACAGACAGCTATACCGCTATGTAAATTTGCAAAAGATCTTAATCAGCTGCATTCCTCCCAATAGTCCCTATTTAGGACGGGCACATCAATTATACTCCCAGTAATGTGTCTGAGTGTATAACAGAGCTCCACAGTAATAATACTCCCAGTAATGTGCTATACCAGAGCTCCACAGCAATAATACTCCCAATAATGTGTCTGAGTGTATAACAGAGCTCCACAGCAATAATACTCCCAGTAATGTGCCTGAGTGTATAACAGAGCTCCACAGCAATAATACTCCCAGTAATGTCTGCGTGTATAACAGAGCTCCACAGCAATAATACTCCCTGTAATGTGTATTTAATCTACAATAAATGTGTTTAAAAATCAGTCTCTGTAAATAAGATACCGTACATTGTTCTTGGCCATTAAAGTCAAACAAATGCAAATACATTTTGTAGCAATAAACAAGTTTATGCAATTTTTATTGATTGATTTAATAGATAATAAGCTATCTCAAAGTGATATAAAGTGCAGGTAGGGGTGGGGGTGGGGGAACTTGGCAGTGCATTAGGATGTGCCAGGTCAGGGCAAACCTGGAGTTACACTAAATTCCTACAGCACCACAGTGTAGTAAAGTAATACAGTGTATTCCTCTTCATATATAATTCCAGACTAGCTTCGTGGTCTGTTTATCTGCATCATTTAAAGGGACACTATAATCACCAGAACAACTACAGCTTATTGAATTTGCTTTTTACTGTAAAAGCTGTCTTTTCAGAGAAAATGCAGTGTTTACATTACAGCCTAGGGAAAACTTCCCTGGCCACTCCTCAGATAGCTGTTAGAGATCCTTCCTGTGTCCTGGCTGCCTTAAATGCATCCGAACATTCAGTATCTCCTCCCTCTGCATGCAGACACTGAACTTTCCTCATAGAGATTCATTGATTCAATTCATCTCTATGAGGAGATGCTGATTGGCCCCTGATCTGCCTCTTTGTCAGTCTCAGCCAATCCCATGGGGGAAGCACTGTGATTGGATCAGGCTACCACTTCTGCTGATGTCAGAGGAAGTTCACAGGCAGAGGCAGCAGCTTCAGACTTGAATACAAGTAAGATTTTACTATCTTTAGTGAGGCAAACGGGGCCAAGGGGGCTAGATAGTTGTTTTAACACTCTAGGGTCAGGAATACATGTTTATGTTCCTGATCCTATAGTGCTCCTTTAATAACTTTAAGAACTGAAGTGGGGAAATTTATAACCGTGTTAAATACACAATATTATTGACCGAGAACAAACAGGGGAAGGAAGTTTAATTGTTCACCTTCCAGATCTTCCGTCTTCTGGGTTGTTTTTTTTACACGTTGCTTGCAGATAACAAAAATAACACAAGAAATTCCACAATACATTTTGCTTTTAAACAAGGAAAATGTACTGAACAAAGCTCTGATTTTACTTTGCCAGCTATATATCACCAGCGCAATATCTTGACATTGATTGCTCCAAACACCCAGCGGTATCCAGCAAAGCGTGAATTCTCTGGGTGGGAACTCAAAGTGAATGGCAAATTTTAGTATGAACCCTGTGTTCCGAACCCTGTCTGATTGGGGCAATCACCACGGAAACCAGAGGGGTTAGTAGCACATTCCATTGATGAATCCTCCCACATTTCAAAAGAGACACTTTGATAAATCTCTCCTAAAGTATCCAGACTGTAATGCAACAAAATGAATTCAATTTTCGATTAATTAGTGAGATGAGGTCGTAATAATTTTTTAGAGCAGAATGTGCTACATGTCGTCCTCGTAAAACAGCTTTGGAAGAGAAGTGAAGTCCTATGTCAGCAGTAGTTATGTTGATTTAAAAAACCTTTTTCTTCGGTCAGTTTGCTGGTTACTTTCACAAATTTATATTCAGCGGCCGGACCAGCTCCTTATTCTATTTTTTTAGTTTGTATCTTTTTAATGTATTAACTTGATCATGCATTAAATAAGGGGGATACATATATATATATAACTAAATAAACATACACAGGCCCCAGGCCTCCCAATAGCAGAGAGAGATGGGGAATGGTGAGTGAAAACGATGAGATGGGATCCAATGACCGAGCCACAGTGAATCACCAGACAAGAAGAATTATCATGCTGCCCTCAGCTGCCCACGCATAGCCTTCTATTAAATAATGTTTAAAGGGACACTATAGGCACACAGATTACGCCATTGACAGTGGTCTGGGTACAGTGTCCCTTTTGCACCTTGTGCTGCAATGTAAAGCATTGCAGTTCCATAGAAAGTGTAATGTTTACATTGCAGCTCTAATTCTGCCACCAGTGGCTGTCTACCAGAAAGCCACTAGAGGGCTTCCCGGAATCCAAACGGACCTTTGGTCCGTTATCGGGTGCTGGACGTCCTCACTGTAGTGGAGAGCTGGTATTACACAGCCTATCTCCACTTTGGATCCCAGTAAGGCTCAGGAACAAATATAATAAATCCACAGAGTAATATTTCCAGCAGGCAAAAAGACTCCAACAATATCCCAATCACAATCCCAATGACTGGACGACACACAGCATCAGGAGCAGAACTAAACTTTTATTCACAGCAGTTCCTTATAAAGGATTCTCCCATGCAAGGGAGGGATTTCCAGTAATTATGACAGTAACCAATAATACAAGGGTTCCCTCCCCTACTTTCCCTCCCCTCAGTGTGACACTTAATCCACTTAATCCTGGTACCTTTTTCACTGTTTCTTGGATGTACCCCAAAACTGTGGGGTACAAGGACAGCTTTTACAGTGGCATCCCCTGGTAGCTCTGGTCTGGGTGACCAACATACTCAAAATTCACCCAGATCAGACCAGGGGTTCGGGAATTATGGGGAATAAACAATTTGACTGACCGCACACAACTATGTAGCCGAAAAGAGCTCCATGTGGTTTGGCCTTGCGGCCGGTCTACGTTCGGGAGGTAAAACAGTTATAAATCCTTGCCATCCATAGATAATACAGCGTTCGCATGAACCCCCTTGTTCGGTAGATTGAATTTACCGAACGAGGAGTCGATTGGCCCCTCCGTTCGTGAGTTCTGGAGCTCTGAAGGTCTCAGCGGTGTTCGGGCAATTGAGTGTCCGATTTGAGTTCCAGACACTCGACGAACAAACACCGCTGAGAGTTCGTGCGTAAGATGGCCGCCGCCACATGTTCATCTACCGAATGGCGGCCACCCAGATACGGCAATATAACACCAATTAACTGCGGTTAGAGAAGTGGGAAAGTTTTAACGAGGTGCACACTTCTCTCTGAGGTGGTCTATGGATTCGGTAGTTTCCATTCGTATGAACTATGAATGAAACTACTGAACCAACATACGAATACACGTACAATTTTCAATATACAGTCAGTTAAATACACGAACAGTCTTTTAAAATATAATCCTGGCGGACAGTCCCATGCCATCCGCTACACTCACGCTCTGCAAGAATTTTCTCCATAGAAAAGCACTGATTCAATGCTTTTCCAATGGGGAGGTCTAATTCGCAATTGCCACACATGCATAGTAGAGCTCGCTCGTCGGAATGGGCAGAGTTTCATGTGATCAACTCTTCCTATAAATAGCCAAGCACTCCACTTAGTTAGTGCTTGATTTTTCCAGTGCTTGCCCCAATCTCTTGGCGTCCTAGTTCCTGATTTCCAGTTCCTGGTCCCTGATTCCTGGTAATACTTCTTGGCTTCTGACCTTTGGTTTGACTGGCTACACTTACTGTTTCTGACCTTTGACCTCAGGCACCCTGATCATGGGTTTTCTGGCTTCTGACCTTTGGTTTGGCGTTTGACCTCGCTCCTTTGCTGCCTGCCCTGACCATCGGACCGCCTGACACCACTTCCTGCCTGATCCTTTCTGGCTTCTGTGCTTCCTTTGTATATAGAGGCTCCCTTGCCCTCAGGTCATGTCTGGAAGGGGGTGTCCATACCACTACAGCTGAGTTCCTCTGTAAACAAACCAACTGGTAGGCTGTCACACCAACACAGACAGCACTCACACTAACGCATTGTCCAACAGACTCCAAACACAGAAAACTTCAACAGCAACCTGTATGCACAAAGCATCCAACAGATCCAGCGCTCAAATTCACGCAGTAACAAACACTCTGCATCCAACACAGCCAGAACTCACACAGTAACCAACACTCTACATCCAACACTCACAAAGTAACCAACACTCCACATCCAACACTCACACAAAAAACAACAATCTGCATCCAACACTCACACAAAAACCAACACTCTGCATCCAACACACACACAGTAACCAAGACTCTGCATCCAACACTCACACAGAAACCAAGACTCTGCATCCAACACTCACAAACTAATCAACACTGCGTCCAACACTCACAAAGTAACCAACAATCTAACACAGCCAGCACTCACAGAGTTTAGCAGATCCAGAACTCACACTGCAATCAGTACCACCAAAATTCATAAAGCATCAAACAGAACCAACCCAAACAGTAAAATGCACACTCCACACGGAGTGTCAGGATGCAGCTCTTATAAATAACAACCCTCTCACTGCTAGTCTTCATGCTGCTGGAACTGAACGGGTTAATTCCAGTATAGGGGATTGTCTCACCTGGTGCTGCGTGTCGAGCTCTCTTACTGCGCTGCGACAAGGTTCACACGTATAATAAATACCTGTTAAAAGACAGATCGGAAATAATAAAGTAATAATGGCTAATGTACAGCAATGTCGCTTTATGGCCTTCTTCCCACCTGAATTAAAGCAAACCTCCTGCCCAGACAAACACATTTCTCCTGTATAAACTCATTTTTCCCATGAAAATCCCAGCTCTGTGTGGTTTCTGTGGCCGATGAGTTTGCTAATATCACATCCTATATTACTGCCTGCATGAAGATTCATTTTCCACTAGATCAGGAATATTCTATCAATCCAGATATAGAAGAGAACTAGCAGAACACTGTCCGATTCAGAGCAATATGTTCTGTGTGAGGTCTCCATACAGCCCATCACAGCGCAGTATCAGGGGAATGAAAAAAGGATCTACTATTTGTAGAGAAACAACAGCAAATCATATATTATCACAGAGCTCCACAGAAATGAAACTCACAGCAATGTACAGTGTGCATCACAGAGCTCCCCAGCAATATAGCTCACAGTAATATACAGTGTGCATTACAGAGCTCCCCAGCAATATAGCTCACAGTAATATACAGCGTGTATCACAGAGCTCCCCAGCAATATAGCTCACAGTAATATACAGTGTGCATTACAGAGCTCCCCAGCAATATAGCTCACAGTAATGTACAGTGCATCACAGAGCTCCCCAGCAATATAGCTCACAGTAATATACAGTGCATTACAGAGCTCCCCAGCAATATAGCTCACAGTAATATACAGTGTGCATTACAGAGCTCCCCAGCAATAAAGCTCACAGTAATGTACATTGCATTACAGAGCTCCCCAGCAATATAGCTCACAGTAATATACAGTGCACTACAGAGCTCCCGAGCAATATAGCTCACAGTAATATACAGTGTGCATCACAGAGCTCCCCAGCAATATAGCTCACAGTAATATACAGTGTATCACAGAGCTCCCCAGCAATATAGCTCACAGTAATATACAGCGTGTATCACAGAGCTCCCCAGCAATATAGCTCACAGTAATATACAGTGTGCATTACAGAGCTTTACAGCAATATAGCTCACAGTAATATACAGTGTGCATTACAGAGCTTTACAGCAATATAGCTCACAGTAATGTACAGTGCATTACAGAGCTCCCCGGCAATATAGCTCACAGTAATATACAGCGTGTACCACAGAGCTCCACAGCAATATATCTCACAGTAATATACAGTGTGCATTACAGAGCTCCACAATAATATATCTCACAGTAATATACAGCGTGTATCACAGAGCTCCACAGCAATATATCTCACAGTAATATACAGTGTGTATCACAATGCTCCACAGCAATATAGCTCACAGTAATATACAGTGTGTATCACAGTCCCCCCCGCCCCACTCATATGCACAAAACACTGCATGCAGTTACCCCTACACACGCAGTCCCAGACACAAACATCCAGATGCTCACATAAACATACATTCAAATTCAAGGATACTCACTGTCAGACACACATACACGCCGCCACTGAATCACAGAGCTCTACAGCAATAAAACTCACAGTGCAGTTTGTATGAGTATTCCTGAACAATAAAACTCGCAGCATATATACGTATGATTCAATGTATGTATGTACTATGTATTCAAACATATAAAGCTACCATTGCAGTTGTTTTAAGCACATATTCTTCTGCAGGGAAAACACCAAACTCTGTCTGCCATTGACCCTCCCAATTGCCATCACAGAGCTGCATTCCTGCCATGTATCCCCGTCAGTCTATGTCCCAGGATTTAAACTATTTATTTTTCACCAGACATTCATTTCGATAGAATTTTAGGATTAAAGAGATTAAGTAAATAGTGTGAAGAATATGCTCTAATATTGCTTATTTATTGTGTCCTGATCGACTTTTTTACATCATCCTAAATTCAAAAATCTTTCAGCCACTGCCTGCTCTTATGAATTATCATTAAATGGGATCATTTTATTCATTTTCCACTATTTCATTTCTGTTGTGTTCTTCAAAAGGTGTATCCGCAGACCAAAACAAAAACTGTTACGAAAAGTGAATGGTTTCCGAGAAAATGAACCCAGTGGTAATTCCATTAACTCAGTGCAAAGTACTAACACAGCGTAACAAAAGCGGCTGCTTCTCTGATAGAAGACAAAATGTTGTTTCAGTTTTACATTGACAGAGAAAGGGGGGGAGCAGATATATAGAATGCATTAAGATGTAGTGGATTTGGTGCTTTGCATTTTCCCTTCACTTAGCGCCAGGTATTTAGTCAGTGTAACAGTATATGGTAACATTGTAACCGCTGAACGGTTGAATATTCTGTCAATTTACGTAATTATCTGTAACTGCATTTTTTTTGTATTGCATTGACAAGACCACCAACAGGTATAAAACCTGAGACAGAAAAGAGGTGTCAATGCGAAGTGATATACATGCTGAAATAACGGCACAATTTAAATTAATAACATTTAAAACAGTGTTTGTGTAAAAACCATGACTCTATTCTGTAATTTTAGGAGTTAAATCACTTTAGTCACACCTCCCCTGGTTGTGCAGGAAATAAAAAAATTCTAAATTAAATAAAATTTGCAAATAAGGAAGTATAAACATTAGATGAATATTTACAGGAAGTGTTCAAGTAGGCTGTGCAAGTCACATGCAGGGAGGTGTGACTAGGCTGCATAAACAAATTGATTTAACTCCTTATTGGCAGAGAATTGAGCAGTGAGACTGCAGTGGCATGATCTATACACCAAAACCGCTTCAGTAAGATGAAGTTGCAAGTATATGACAGAGGTATTACAGGTTAAATGCACGAGGTGGGGACCAAACAGGTAGCAGGGAGGAGCCACATATGGATAGGCTCAGATGCACCAGGAAATAAAATAAATGTGAATAGGGTTAAAATAAAGAATATAAGGCAAAACTGGTAAGTAGACGCTTTCAACAAACTCTCTCAGGAACTCGAACTCACCCAATTCCCAACGCCAGGAAGGCTCCTTTGCACTGTCCAGAGTGTTGCAACCCAGGACAGACTCCTGCAACAGAGTCCTGCAACCCCGGACAGTATCCTGCACCCATTGACAGAGTCTTGTATCCACGGTCAGAGTCCTGTACCCCCAGTCAGAGTTCTGTACCCCCGTCAGAGCCCTGCGACCCCTCGACAGAGTCCTGCCCCAGACCCAGGAGTGCTCTCATGCAACACAGAAGCTGAGGATAACGTGCGCTACCACAATTTGTATAGTTGTATAGTTTTGAGTCTGAACATTAGTATTTGCAAATATGAGTGTCTTTGTCTTTTTTCCTTTGTCAGCTCTCATGAATTATCAGTGAATTTAATATTTTTTTTTCATTTTGTACGGATTAATATCTGCTGTGTTCTTTAAGCTGTGTAACTGCAGACAAAAGGCGAAATCCTTTAAAGCAAAGCAAATGGTTTCCCTGCAAATGGACTCACTGGTTAATCCATTAATTTAGTGACAAGTATTAACACAGTGTAACACTTTGTCAATGCTATGCCGAACACAAATACTTGTAACAATATACTGCCTCCTGTCCAGTTTTGTCTACATAGGGCATGGGTCGACAACCTGGTCCCTACTGCCCACTAGTGGGCGTTTCAGGATTCCAGGTGGGCGGTAGGGATTTCAGAGATTGGGTGGGCGGGAGGGCGGGTGCGAGCCGGCGGTATCCCTGCGACCGAGTACTGCCGTCACCATTTGCGGCCCCGGCCCGCATGGCAAACTGCCGGCGCCGCCGTCCAAAGGGTCCATCAGGTGGCCCATGCTGTCAGGGCCACTCGATGGATGTGGATTGAGAGGGGCCCCGGTCAGCGCTGGGCGCTTTACCAGCGTGACCGGGCCCCCTGTTATTACATCACACGCTGGGAGGAAGTGACTGCGCGTCACTCCTCCCAAGCTATCAAAAAGACCGCGCGGGAAGAAGAACAGGGAGTCAGAGTAGGAACTCTGACTCCCATGCACCTGAGCCACCACTGGACCCCAGGGAAAGTCACCCTCCTGCACCTAAGAGGTAGGAAACAGGAGGGTGACTAAAATATTTTGTGTGTGTTTGTTTGTGTGCATGTGTCTTTGTATGTATGTCTTGTGTGTCTGTCTGTATGTCTTGTGTGTGTCTATGTATGTATGTCTTGTGTGTATCTATCTGTATATATGTGTGTATGTATGTGTGTGTTGTCTTTGTATGTATGTGTTGTGTATGTCTTTGTATGTATGTGTGTCTATGTATGTGTACCTGTCTGTTTGTATGTATGGGTCTTGTGTGTGTGTCTGTATGTATGTGTGCCTGTCTGTATGTATGTGTCTTGTGTTTTTCTGTATGTATGTATGTGTGCCTGTCTGTCTGTATGTCTGTATGTGTGCCTGTCTGTTTTTCTGTATGTATGTATGTGTGCCTGTCTGTCTGTATGTCTGTATGTGTGCCTGTCTGTTTTTCTGTATGTATGTATGTGTGCCTGTCTGTCTGTATGTCTTGTATGTCTGTATGTGTGCCTGTCTGTGTGTCTGTATGTGTGCCTGTCTGTGTGTCTGTATGTATGTATGTATATGTGCCTGTCTGTTTGTATGTATGTGTCTTTTTATGTGTGTGTGTGTGTGTGTGTATGTATGTCTGTATGTGTGCCTGTCAGTTATAGTGGGCTACCTAGCTAAGCCTTCCTACTGGGCATTGCTATAAGGAAGGTTAAAAAATAGAAAAAAGGGATAAAAAAGGTGGGGAGGGGAATTGAGGAGGGAGATGAGATGAGCTGACGCACAGATGAGAAATCATATTATGTGCAAACAGAGAAGTCGTCTGAATATCTCCGAAAGGGGAGACCTTGTTCCTTACGAAAATCGAACCAGATATCAAATATTTAGTCTTGCAGCATCAGCCTCAAGGATCTCATTAATCACTAGTAAAGGTAATTTCAATTTACTTTATTGTTTTCCAATTAAACTTTATAAAGTTAAAAACATTATAAACATGCATTAAGTCGAAATAAAAAGATAAATGTACGTACATTTTTTTATTTTTAAACAACCTCCTTTCTAAAAAATATTCTGGACTTGCGCGAAAACTGGTGGGCGGTAAGGAAAGTTTTCCATCAAGAACGATGTTTTAGGGGGCGGTAGGAAGAAAAAGGTTGATTACCACTGACTTAGGGATTTAACATTAAACAAATTAGTAACTTCTTTGTTTTATGATTTCTTCTGACTACATTAGTATCTCATTGTTATTCCAACGCAGTTAAAGGAACACTCCTAGCTCCCCAACCCCTACGGAGCACGGCAGTGGCTAATGGAGAGCCCTACCAGTCCCACATTGTAAGAGGTCAAACAATTTTAGAACAGTCTGACGTCTTACCTGGTTCTACTGGCACCATTCCACGCCTCCACTACTTCCTAGGAAAGCCTAAAGTTCTGTGTCTGAGCTAAGCCCAACAGTGCAGGACTTAGCTCATAGCTTTGCAAAGTTCCAAACATATGTCTGGCACTCAAAGGGTTAAACTAATTAACTAAAGATGCTTATTTTTTTGTTGTTTGACAGCTATTCATAGAAATCTCCAGATGCCCTATATGCCTCCGACCTCCAAAACACATTACTACGTGTTCACTACCACAACATGAAATAAAGGTTTTAACTTCTTTACCAGCCGAACCAACTGTGACATCTCACCAACACTTCTGGCAATGCCTAGTCCCTGGTGGCTAGATCTCAGCCCTCGAGACGTCTTTATGGCTAGGCCAGCAGCCAGGTGGGACACGAGGGAACGTTCCATATAAGATACCTGATTTTGAAGTCAATAAAATTTACAAAACAGCATTACAATGTATTCCGTGACTGTTTCCAATTGATGGGACCTTCGGGCTGGTTAATGCATTCACAGTGTTATACTGCTTATTAGTTTACAGAATATCACTAACATATAGAGAGCTTTATATAAAAGAAATAGCCCACATTAATGATAGCGTCATTACTATAAACATATAGCGAGGGCGTTCACACTGGAAAATTCACACATCCACATTTACCAACATCCACATTTGGGTATTTGATAAATCCTATTTTTTATACAGAACTCATATGTGAAAGTGAATGATTTCAAAGGACACACCACATTTTACTGAGTGAGAAGTGTGCCTTAACTTGAAATATTTTATAAACATGAACATTTCAAATTTGCTGAAAATCTTTTTTTTTTTGTAATCTGAATTTATTACAGCAGTGTGTATTTCTTTTGATATTTTTTAAACATATCATTATATTTTCTGTTTTTTTCACTGATGCTTTTGAATAACACAGTATTTATTTCCTCATCCATTTTTGGCCTGTTTTAGCATCCTGTGCAATTTCCTGTAAGAGCGTTTTGTTTCCTCCTAGTTTTACTTTCTTATGTGCTGCTTAATCTCAGAACGCACCCATAATAGAAAATTCTATAGCTGCAGCTGTGTGAACTACATTTCCCAAGAATACTCAGCAAAAAAAAAAAAAAAGAGACAATGACTGGAACATTTTCAATACAGAAAAAAAGAGCAAAAATAAATGTGTGTGTGTGTATAATGTATGCAGTGTGTATAGTGTATGCAACTTGTATATATAGTGTATGCAGTGTGTTCAGTGTGTGCAGCTTGTATGTATAGTGTATGCAGTGTGTGTATAGTGTATGCTTGTATGTATAGTGTATGCAGTGTGTTTAGTGTGTGCAGCTTGTATGTATAGTGTATGCAGTGTGTATAGTGTATGCAGTGTGTTTGGTGTGTGCAGCTTGTATGTATAGTGTATGCAGTGTGTTTAGTGTGTGCAGCTTGTATGTATAGTGTATGCAGTGTGTGTTTAGTGTGTGCAGCTTGTATGTATAGTGTATGCAGTGTGTGTAACGTGTATGCCGCTTGTGTGTATATGTGTATGGACTCAGCAGTCTGTGTGTGTGTGTGTGTGTGTATGTGTATGGACTCAGCAGTCTGTGTGTGTGTGTGTGTGTGTGTGTGTATGGACTCAGCAGTCTGTGTGTGTGTATGGACTCAGAAGTCTGTGTGTGTGTGTGTGTGTGTGTGTGTGTGTGTATGGACTCAGCAGTCTATGTGTGTATGGACTCAGCAGTCTATCAATAATTAAAATTCCTGTGAGTTGTTGTGTAGGAAGGGCCCCAGTGCATTGCTTTGCCCGGGGGCCCTTAACTCTGTTAAAATGGTACTGCTTGTGTGGGTCAGTGAGCTTCTATTTAGTGAGCATATGTGTGTCAGTGAGCTTGTCTTTAGTGAGCTTGTGTGTGTCCTTGAACTTCTTTGTAGTGAGCCTTCTGTTTATACAAGTGAGTTTGTCTGTAGTAAATTAGTGTGTGAGTCAGAGAGTTTTGTCTGTCAGTAAGCCTATTTGCGCATGTCAGTGAGCTTGTGTGCTTACTGTACTATATATATATTTTATTTTATTTTTACTTGTAGGAATGGCATACATTTTTTTTCCAGGGCTGCTTTGGATTCTCAGGGATTCCCAGTTCCAGCGAGTGCACTTTACCGCTGAATCATCTGTGTGAGCAGCCGCACACTTTAGCCCTGTTACACGTGTCTGGGAGCTGCTGTTGACAGGTACTAGTAGTCTAGAGATTGGGACATGGGATATCTGTATAATACAGATCTGTGTGTATATAATATCCCGGGATAGTCAGTGCTTCCTGTATAGTGCTGCTCTCTGTATAATACAGGCCTGTGCCTGTATAATATCCCGGGACAGTCAGTGTTCCCTGTATAGTGCTGCTCTCTGTCTTGGGATATTATACACAAACAGACCTGTATTATACAGAGAGCAGCACTATACAGGGAGCACTGAGTGTCACAATTTATTATAATCACAACCCTGTATTATACAGAGAGCACTGACTGTCCAGGGATATTATACCCAGACAGTAATTGATAGCTGTGCTGCAAAATGTCCTTGGAATTTTTTTTTTCAAATGTTGGCAACTATGGCACTGTATCAAGGATAATGTGTTTGTTTTTTAAATAATCCCTGGTGGAAAATAATGAATCCTCCACCAGGTATTATTAAAAAAACAAAACACATTGTGTCGGGGGCTTGGCTTAACATGCGTGTCAAACTGCGGTGAGGGCGGGGTTAAATGTGCCCCCCTACTTTTGTCCCTGGCCCTCCATGTGCCCCTCCTAAAAATGAATCCTAGAGACGCCACTGAAGGCAGACCCCAAGATCACGATCGCTGGCGGGGGAACGCCAGCAATCAGGTAAGTGGCGATTTACTAAATAACGTACCAGGTACATCCGCGGTCGTGAAGGGGTTAAAGGACCTCTAAATCAGCTTATATTACTGAAATGCTTTATTGTGAAGTGTTTTGTTTTTTACATTTTACATACAGCACAATTAAAGGGAATGCAGAGCGTTAGGACTTGCAGCGTCAGATACCGGACAAAAGGTTCGGAAGGCCTCTAGTGGCTGTCTCTTAGACAGCCACTAGAGGTGGAATGGACCCTGGTTAGTAATTATTGCAGTTTCTCAATAACTGCAATAATTACTATTGCAAGGTTAAGGGACATGAGATATTGCACCCAGACCACTTCAATGAGCTGAAGTGCCTACAGTCTCCCTTTAAAGGGTTACTCTACGTAAGTACAGAATAGAGCATCATGGGACACCCCCCTGTCACACCCCCTCCTGGCTGTCAATCAGACAGCCTGGTTTTGCAAACTGTTATTAGATATAGAAATATTACAATGCAGAATAGAATGCAGGCATGTTTTCATTGGGGGTATATCTGCTAAATTGTTAATCTCCACCCCATCCCCTCCTATAGAATGTTTGTTTAATTACATCCTTTTTATATTTGGAGATTCAAATTCTAATCCTCAGTCCTTCCCCTGAGAAAATGTAACCCAACAAGATTAATACAATTAAAAGAAACTGTGAGTCAGTCTGTAGCTATGCAGTGTCTCAGCCACAAAACCAAGAACGTGATTAATTATTAACTCTATAAAACTCTATTTACCAGCAGTTTAATGGTTTGCACTGTTTTCTCAAACAAACTTCCCTAAGTCCTGTCTCCCATTTGACATGACCGGAGGATTCATCGAGTGGCCCCTGAAGGCCCCCTTGTCACAATCTCCGCTCCTTTAAGTACGCTTGTTTTGCTTTAGTTTAATGGTGCAGTTCATCTCAGTGTAAAGAAAAATAAGCAGAAACAGATCAGATTTGGCAGCAGATGTTCCTGTTCCACCCTGTGTCGTGTCCTCCAGATGTGTATTATGTCACCAGCCAAGTCACTCAGCCTTGCTGCTGTTATATAAGGCATCAATTCTCCATCAGTGACAGCGATTGCTAGGTAATCACTGCAATTCACACTGCACTCAGCCAGCGGTTACCATGATGGCTGCTGTGCTAAACCGGAGCCATTTGGACTCATTCAAACCTATTCTAAACCTCAAATATCAGATTATAGATGTGTATTTTGAAATATGCCACTTCTGTTGGAAGGCGATTCCATGTATTCAACACCCTTTCAATAGGTATAGGTATAAATAGCTGATTTGGAAAAATTCCATGAATCCTCCCACCTGGTGTGGGGATGGCGGATCCAGTGCCACGTTCATTAAATGGTTCAATACATGGCATGATGGAAAGCAACATAAAATGCAACGGTCATAAGGTCCATCCTGAAACATCTCGCAGCCACACCTGTAATTCTCTGCATCCAAACTTGGCAGATGAGCGGGTGTCTGACTAATGGGACTATAAGACGGTATTAAACCAGGAGAAAGAATGATACAGATGTATGATATTTTCTTTATGGAATTGCGATGCTAATGTGATCAAATGCCACAGCGTCTTCTTTGAAAAAATAAAGTCCCCAAATTGGTACCCTGATTTTTGGTGTATTAATGGGGGACAGGGACTTTTTACGTGTATGTGATTTTTGTTGGTCTTACAGATGTATGCAGTTAACTCTTTCACTAGGGACTTATTTAGCAGTTATTACAAAATAAGCTAGGATAAAATGGTCATTTTGGGCATAGATTTCTGTACCAAGGAAAAAAAATGTATTGGGTTAATTTCCATTTTCTTTTTCAATGCCAGTAATTTGTTCATCCTTTGTAAGAAATTCTATATCTCTGGCTTTAAAATCCTTGTTTAAGTTACTAGAAAATTAACACAGAATGACAAATATATTTTTTTAACCAATTCGTACATATGACAAAAATATGACTAAAACTGGTCATTTATTATGAGTGTATGCAATGAGCAGTATTTCGGGGAATGCAGATTCCCACAATGTTAGAAGACTGTGAACATTATAACTGCAAGTGAATGTAATATTGCAAACAGTAACTGTGGTTGCCATGCTACAACCAGGCATCTTTTAGTACAGACCATAATATATGCTGTAATAATTTAGTATTTTCTTCTTTTCTTCTTCTGCGTCTTTTTCTAGTTGATTGATATATACGTCTTTTGTATATAAAGTCTTGGGTCAAAGGCTTGCAACATTAATATACATCTATATAAATGAATCTGACTTATGGTTTCTTCAGGTTTATTCTTACTTACTGATACTTAATAAAACAACAAAGGATGTTACATGATCATGGATGTTCAACAGCAGGTGGTAATTGCTGGACTCCTGAAGGGAGAGTTACATCGTTACATAGCGTTACTATATAGATGTGGCCATGCTGACGTCAGAGTATTACTCTAGCCATTTAAGGATAAGACCCCCAATCCACATTCCAGAGTTCTGATACAAGAAAACCTTGTGACCTATTGATACCATCTGTTACTTATGTCAATCCAGACATCCATAAATAATCAATAGAAACATAGAGTATTCAATATACTACAGAGGCTCAGAAGCCTTGCTTTTCACCTATACAGTAAACATTGAGTTATGTAAAGTTCGGTACAGTGTGAAATGGGTAATGGGTAATCAAGAAAGAGGGACTGGATAGAGCTCATAATAAATGCTCAGCTTTTAGAGGGCCAGCATGGAATTATAAGGAAAGGTAGGTGTGTATTCTAGTATCCCCCCCCCCACACACACATGTCTGGCAGAGAAAGAGCCACTAAAATAGTTTTTAAAAATTGACAGAAAGTTGCCGCTAAGATGATTTCATAAAGATGTGTTAATGTATCACAACAATTTACTGATTAAAAAACGGGGGATGGTTTTCGTGTCTCCACAAGCTTTGCCTAGAAACCTGAATTTTGTCCAAAGTCACACATTAAACAGATAAGCATAATCAAATATCCGTAACAAAACTGTTCAACTTCACTTCTGCAATGAATAAACATGTCAAGATTTTATGTAATAATTAAAAAATATATCTCGGGTGAGGTCATTTATTTGTTTTCTCAGAAAGGAAAAACTGTAAACTTAGAAATGTCTTGATTATGTATTTCTCATGTAATCTGTGTATAGATATTTGGAATATGATTTTAGACAATTACAGAGGAGTGATTTCCCCAATACAAATGTAGTTTTTGTAATTGACACCCAGTGAAAATGTTTTCAATTCCAAAATCTAATCATGAGGAGCATCTTAAACTCCTCCAGAGAACAGGGTTTGAACATATGCAATCAAAAACCCTAGCACTCCTGTATCCAGGGCTCGAGTCCTGCAGGAACGCATGGAAACGGCATTCCTGCACCTTTTCCACAGCAGGAACGCCGTTCCCATTTGTGGTCCTGCAGGACTTGTTTGCCCGCGAGGCAAACAAGGCATTTGCCTTGTTAGCCTCGGGGAAGGTGGGACGTCATATTCCAGCTCCCTGCATCACTCTGCGGCACTCGAGGGAACTGAGCAGGGAGAGCTCACAGATCTGCCTTCCCTCACAGTCCACCTACCCACTCACAGTCCCACTACCCAACTCTCAGCCCCCCTACCCAACTCACAGCCCCCCTACCCACCTTATAGACCCCCTACCCACCTTAAACCCCCTAACCACCTTACAGCCCCTCTACCCACTTCACAGCCCCCCTACCCACTCAGTCACCCTACCCACCTTACAGAACACTGTGAAGAAATCCCTCTTTATGTATAATATTTATTCCATATTCATTTGGCAGATATAACTACCGAACAGAGACCACCCCTGGCTCGTTAAACTTCAAAGAATGCTTCAATTGAACCCTCTATCTGTGCGGCCAGCGTTCGTACTACCGAACGCCATGTAGCTGAGAAAACGGTGGCCATCTTTTTTCAGGTGAACAAAGGCAGCGGGACTTGGTCGTCGAGTGTCTGGAACTATAATCGGACACTCGACTTCCCGAACACTGGTCTCAACAAGCTAACGCTGGATCTCTATTTCCCGAATAGCTAGAAGAGCGCTATTCGGTACTTTTGTGCATTCGAATGAGGGGAACAATCGCTGCTACGAGCCAGGGGAATCCATTTGTGGAATTATTCGTTTTTTGCCCCTTTACTGAATAGACCAGCAAAACCACCCAAACTCCTGGAACTATTTTGGGAAGCCACCTCGCGGTTAGCCGGTCACAAACGACTTCACACTTTTTGAGAACCCCTGAACCGATCTGGGTGAAACTTGAATATGTTGGTCACCCAGATCGGGGCTATCAGGGGACATATTATTTGTGGGGATACCCCATGTATAAAGGGGTGTTCTGAATATTGGGGAAAATTTTGATTTTTCTGCCTAGAGATAATCAAGTTATTACTTTATCAGACTTGACTATCTCCAGGACTAGGGGAGGGAATTGTATGTTTGTGCTGGGTGTGTTTTACTGTTTTCCTGTAACTGATTGGTTATACTGTGTCCCTTCCTGTGGGATGTCCCCTTGCATGGGGACTTGCATAAAAGCCTGTGTGTGGTCATTAAAAGCCAGTTCTGTTGTACCCTTCTTCTTGACTTTGGCTGATGTTTGGGGATTCGTATGCTTTATGAAGGGAATTATCTTATAAAGCTATTTGTATAGCTTTATGTGAGTCTCAGGTCCCATAGAGATACCTATATACTCCTTATATTTAATCTTTACACATATACATCCTGGATACCCTTATTTAAAAATATAACATAACATTTAATATAATATAAAGACCTCAGGATTATCAATAACACTAATGGAGTATCATCATTCATACAATACTCCCTTGAATTTAGAAGGGAGATTAATGACCAACTTGATGATATCAATCCCCATATACATACATACATTTATATATTTTTCGACATATCTTTCAAAATCCTGTGAAACATATCAAGTTAAGTGGGTAGATCTATGATCGGTTGGATGATACTAATCCCCATACTCATATACATATCCATATATATATTTATTTATTTTTCGGAATCCTGTAAAATATATATATTGATAACTTTCTGTAAGACGTCATTAAAATATTCTTCTTTGGGTCTCAGAATACAAAAATAAACTGACAGATCATGTAAGCCCCTTTATATTCCTTATACAGTAACCCCTGCATATCAAGGCTACACCGGGTGGTCTATATTATCTTGTGGAAAAGTATATACGTGATTACACATGCGCACTGGAGTCCCTATTTGGAAGGAAAATCTATGTTAACGTCATCAAAGGAATCTTTTCGATTGGCTCCCTGCCACTTCAGGGCGGGACATACTTACCTTTAAAAACTGACTCTCTGTGGATGCCGGCTATTAGCCCTTGAGAAAGGCGGAGTTACTGCCGAAACGCGTGTAGGGCTACCGATACTCATACTTTACTTTTAATTCACTCTCTTTTGACTGCTGTGTGTTATCCTGAGTTCGTGTTTGTAGGGAGGACTAATTCTCAGTAGCAAGGGGTTGTCCTAGCTTATACGTACGGCTAGGGGTCTACTTCAGACTGCTCAGGCTACTTAATCACGGCTACTTACCTGTGTGGACGACTGCCGATACAGGGGTCCTCTGCTCTAGTAGCATTGATGAGATAGGTGTACTTGAATATAGCTGTTTTTTCCCTCGTCCCCTGCTTCCACTTGGGTGCCTTGTGTGTGTGATATGCTCCGATAGGGAGCACTCCTTGTTAAGCTTAAGGAGGGGGTTATCCTGTTTGGAGATTCCTGAAGTAATATTTCTCCTAATTTTGGGTTCTATTCCCCAGATTCATCAACTTAAGGGGACTACTATCCTTTAATAGAGGGTTGGTTACTTTACTGTAGTCTACACTCACAGCTATTTGTCTATTTGAGTACCTTACTCACCTTTCGCTAACATCTCTACCGTTGTGTTTGAAGTACTCTCGACATTGAGGTACCTCATTCTAATCACAAAGAGAATGAAGAAGTCAGTGCTGGCAATATATTTTTTCCAATATTGTTACCCTATTGTTTAGAGTGCTCCCTATATAGGGGCACTCCACTTTAGTAGCAAGGGAGTGACTGAGTCAGAACTGTCAGTATATAATTGACTCTTTACTCATATGCTTATCCTCCTTACTCAATTTAATCGAGATAGTCTTCCTACACTGCTATATCCTTTGTTTGTAGTGCTCTCTACGTAGGGGTACCCCATTCTAATAGCAGGGTACTGATTAAGTGAGTACTGGCATTATATTACTCAGTCTTCACTAAGTGTATATTCTATCCTATTAATCTATCTTACCATTGAGTATATACTTGGAGTAACTAGGAGGTAATTATCTATACCTCTGTGCACCAACTGATAAAGGCTAGACCCTTTTTTTTCACATGTCCGTTCTCCCCTATAGTACTACCATTCTGGCGATATAGACGTCCTAATATTACAGGATACATACACATTTACTTTTACATCCTGTTTAGTCTAACTGAACAGTTATTATTATTTCCTCACACCACGTTCTCAGGTTTAACTCAAGACTACCCTTTACTTAACTCCCTCAATTTTTTCCTGCGAAACACACAGTTAATTCTGTGTATTATCTATCCAGGATAATAACAAGCAGTCTGTTACTTTTGTAACACATTGACTCTAAGTACTGGTACTAAGTTGCTACTTTTGTAGCCTGTGGTGTTTCCTAGTGGTAGGGCTTATATTCATGGTACAATTCTAGCAGTCTTTTAACGTTCACTTAGATCACTGATTTTGCACGTTTACACGTTATTTAGGTATATATGTACAGTATATCATTTTTGCTAATAAAGTTTATTATCTCATATTGATTTTTTTTATTTAAGAGGTACTCTTAGTGAGGCTGGTTGGCTTTCCTAGTTTGAAGCTAACAATCCTCACTATCTATCTTCACTGTTTAATTCCTGGGGTATTGCCCTGTCTTACCTCTGCAACCCTTGTCTAACCCCTTAGCTAGGTTTTCCTATCCTGGGGTAATTCTTTCTTCTGTTAAATGTATAGTGCAGGTCCGCAACTCAAATGTGATTTAGGAATGTGGTTCTGTGGTGTGAAATGGTTGGGTACTATGTAAACACTGGAAAGAATTTTGAAAAGTCTTATGGTCAAATTACAGGCATGCAAATTTCATGAGATTATATTACCTTTGGCACAAAATAGAAGCCACCATCAACTGCACTTTGGCACATTAGAGAATGCCATTGGCAAAAGAAAACAACTATTTAATATGTGGAGTTATTATAAAAGTGAATATTGAGTGTACTCAATTGGTATTTTCATCATCAATTTCTCCTAAATTTAGTGGTAAATTGTTTGGCATACATATTGAAAATGGACATTCCAGGTACTAATATATCTTAAATGCATTTGATAAGTTTTGGCCTCATTAATATGCTGTAGAAATACACGGTAAAATCTTAATAGTTTTACACAAAAAAATAAATAAATGTGTTGCAGAGTGCTGTACCATAAGCCCGCCTCCTTAGCCACACCCTCTAATTCCAGAGAACCACTTCCTTATCAGGGTATGTACTCATAGAAACATAGAATGTGACTGCAGATAAGAACCATTCAGTCCATCTAGTCTGCCCAATATTTTGAAATACTTTTAATTAGTCCCTGGCCATATCTTAAGTCTAGTATAGCCTTTTGTCTATCCCACGCATGCTTATACTCCCTCACTGTGTTAACCTCTACCACTTCAGCTGGAAGGCTATTCCATGCATCCACTACCCTCTCAGTAAAGTAATACTTCCTGATATTATTTTTAAACCTTTGCCCCTCTAATTTAAGACTATGTCCTCTTGTTGTGGTAGTTTTCCTTCTTTTAAATATAGTCTCCTCCTTTACTGTGTTGATTCCCTTTATGTATTTAAATCATATCCCCCGTCTCGTCTTTCCTCAAAGCTATACATATTAAGTTCCTTTAACCTTTCTTGGTACGTTGTATCCTGCAATCCATGAACCAGTTTAGTAGCCCTTCTCTGAACGCTCTCTAAAGTATCAATATCCTTCTGAAGATACGGTCTCCAGTACTGTGTACAATACTCCAAGTGAGGTCTCACCAGTGTTCTGTACAATGGCATGAGCACTTCTCTCTTTCTACTGCTAATACCTCTCCCTATACAACCAAGCATTCTGCTAGCATATTCAGCTGCTCTATTACATTGTCTGCCTACCTTTAAGTCATCTGAAATAATTACTCCCAAAATCCCTTTACTCAGATGTTGAGGTTAGATGTTGAGGTTGACTTAGCCCTCCTGGAACATCAACCCTGTTGCAAATTTTAGTATCATCAGCAAAAAGACATACCATCAAGACCTTTTGCAATATTACTAATAAAAAATATTAAAGAGAATGGGTCCAAGTACAGATTCCTGAGGTACCCCACTGGTAACCAGACCTTGCTTCAAATATACTCCATTGACTACAACCCTCTGTTATTATTATTATTATTATTGCCATTTATATAGCGCCAACAGATTCCGTAGCGCTTTACAATATTATGAGAGGGGATTTAACTATAAATAGGACAATTACAAAAAACTTACAGGCACGATAAGTTGGAGAGGACCCTGCTCAAACGAGCTTACATTCTATACGAGGTGGGGTATAAAACACAATAGGATAGGAAATATCAAATAGGGTGGGAGTAAAGCAGTGCTGGAGGAGAGAGTAGAGTGCTGCCCTTTAGGAGAGCGCAAGAGACAGGTATGTGAGGTAGAGGTTAGTCTGGGAGGCCATAAGCTTTCCTAAAGAGATGAGTTTTAAGGCACTTCTTAAAAGATGCAAGACTAGGGGAGAGTCTGATGGCGGTAGGCAGGCTATTCCTTGGAAGGGAGCTGCCCGCGAGAAGTCCTGCAAGCGTGAGTTGGCCGTGCGGGAACGGACAGGAGGTGGTCACGGGCAGAGCGGAGAGACCGAGAAGGTACATACCTATGGATCTGTGATGAGATATAGGAGGGGCTAGAGTTGTTCAGGTGTGAATTAGTACCTTGAATTGACTCCTATAGCATACAGGAAGCCAATATAAGGACTGACAGAGGGGTGAGGTGTGAGAGAGACGACTAGAAAGGAAAATCAGTCTGGCGGCAGCGTTCATTATGGACTGTAGTGGTGCAGTACAGCTTTCGGGAAGACCAACCAGGAAAGGGTTACCTGTTGCCTGTCATTTAGCTACTGCCTAACCCATTCAACAATATTGGAATCCAAACTTGCAGTTTAATGATGAGCCTTCTATGTGGAACAGTGTCAAAAGCCTTACTGAAATCTAGGTAAGAAATGTCTTCTGCACCACCCTAATCTATTATTTTAGTTACCCAATCAAAAAAAATCAATTAGATTAGTTTGTCATGATCTCCCTGAAGTAAACCCATGTTGTCTCTGATCTTGAAATCTATGTGATTTTAGATGTTCAACAATCCTATTCTTTAACATGGTTTCCATCACTTTCCCCACTACTGAAGTAAGGCTTACTGGCCTATAGTTGCCCGACTCCTCCCTACTACCTTTCTTGTAAATGGGCACAACATTCGCTAACTTCCAATCTTCTGGGACTACTCCTGTTAACAATGATTGGTTAAATAAATCTGTTAATGGTTTTGCTAGTACACAACTAAGTTCTTTTAATAAGGCCCCATTGACTTATTTGTCTTTACTTTTGACAGTTGAAATAGAACCTCCTCCTCTGTAAACTCACATGTAACAAATTACTAATGTGTCCCTTTTCCTAACTGAAGTTCCTTTCCTTCATTTTCATCTGTAAATAGCAAACAAAAATATTAATTGAGGCAGTCAGCCTGACCTTTATCCTCTTCTACATACCTTCCTTCTTTTGTTTTTAATCTAACTAATCCTTGTTTTATTTTCCTTTTCTCATTTATGTATCTAAAAAATATTTTGTCCCCTTTTTTTACTGACTGTGCTATTTTCTCTTCTGTGTGTGATTTGGAAGCTCTTATAACTTGCTTAGCCTCTTTCTGTCTAATCTTATAGATTATTTTGTCTTCCTCACTCTGTTTTTTTTATAATTACTAACTTTTTGTTTTTTACTATTTTGGCCACATCTGCGGAGTACCACAGTGGTTTCTTGAATTTTTTGCTTTTACTGACAAGCCTAATGCAATTTTCTGTTGCCTTCAGCAGTGCAACTTTTAAATAATCCCATTTCTTCTGGACTCCATTTAAATTGCTCTAGTCTGATAATGACTCCTTTACACATATTCTAATTTTAGAAAAGTCTGTTTTTTAAAGTCTAAAACTTTCGTTTTTGTGTGGCACAAGCAGCTATTTTGGATTTCCAGTTACTGACAGCAGGAATGATCTGAACTACAAAACAACCCGTGGTAAAACTAGAAGACAGCTGGGGAGGCTACCTGTTTAAACTTTATATGAAAGAAGTCAGGTTGTGAATTAAAAGCAGATCATTCAGTGCTATGGGGGTTGAGCTGTTAATTTATATTTGATAAGGAAGTCTTTTTTCTAGCATGAGCGGGATGGCAAATGACCTGGCTTATAAGGCAGCATAATGCAAAACAATATTTTTTTTGTTTAATTTTAAACTGATAAAGATTTTCCCATGCAAAATATACTGC